ATTCCTGCTATAGCAGTGGGACTTTCTTGTAAATAAGATACTGTGACTTCCGTCATAGACATTTAATAATTCATTAGAACTAGACTGCGCGATAACAGCTTCCTCAAGTTAATCCTGAGCTAGTTTGAGAATGTTTTTGTCAGTGGTTTCACTTAAACCTACAGCACTCAAAGAATGCAAGTTGTCACTTAAAAGAAGTACATATTTTTAGTAACAGAACTTTTCAAAACTATTGATATCCCTTCCTAAATAAGTATTTGTTGTAATTACTCGTGCTCAGGAATTTAGTTGTCTATGGTGATGTATCCTAGCAAGAGAAGATGTTAATTTAATCTAATGTTCTGTTGTCTTGCTTGTAAAAATATTTGTATCTGGGGTCTTACAGAAGTAAAGCTAGTTATTTTCAATGCTGTTTCAAACATGATTTTTGTTTTTTTCATGTGATTGCTTGTAGCACGCCCCAGCATCAGTGTCCAGGCAGGCTGGCCTAGAAAGACCTTTCCTACTCTGTGTGCCAAGAGAGGGGAATGTTGCAACTGGCTTCAGGGACGGACCTTGGCAGTGGCAACCTTCTTCACGCAGCCTAGTCTGGCAAAACGTATCCCTGGTTCTTCTAGCCAGCTCCTCCTTTTGCCAAACTCTGCTGCTTAGTAGTTAAGTAATTCAGTTCACTCCCCCGTTATGGTGGAAGCAACTGCAGGTGGCTAGTCCAGGCTGGGCAGGGAGATAGAAAACAGCGTCAAGTACATGGAGCAGTAAAATAGTGAATTTTCTGGTAAAATTTCAGAATTGAAAGCATCAATAAAAATTTTTTCATGAGGATGGGTTTATTGAGATCCTGGTGCCTTTAAGTTGAACAAGGCAGTCCATGCTTTACAGCACCATTTCTGGCTCTTTGCAGTCTTATGTTGGCATCTCTGCATCTATTTATGCTCATTTCACTTAAAAAAAAAAAATCTCTGCATCTCTTACGGCTAGAAATACTTTTCTCCCTAAAATGCTGAAAACACTGGCACAGGCTGTGTGCAGTCTCCACTCTTACATTCCTTTACCCAACAATTTTTAAAGGAAAATAGTTTGAGATGCCACCACTTTTCTGTATCTTTTGTTACGTATTAGGTAAAATCAAGACTATGCTACCTCTTTCTTAACAGCAGTAATCAAGAATCTATGAGCATGTACTGGCCTGATGTTGCAGTCTCACATCATTCCTTTCACATTAGTCCTCTAGATGGGTAGTGGTGTATGTATTAGCATACTTCTGTTAATATGGGAAGGTCAGGCTCACTGTGGAAAAATGATACATTGTAGTGTTTGTAGTGTTAACAGTAGAGAAAAGAGGTAGTTGCACATGCTCATTTTAGGCTGCACAGAGAAGACATTGAAAGTAACAGAAGAAATTGCCATGTGTTTTTTTTTGCAGGGAAGCTTGGTCGATTTCCACCAATGATGCATTACCAAGTGACGCCCGACAGCCGAGCTGCCCCTCATTTTCCAAGGTCCCACCTTGCTGAAGCAGTTGCCAAAGCCAAGGCAGGTGGAGGTGGAAGCAGTGGCGGAACTGGGAGAGGTCTTGTGGGGCAGATTATCCCTATTTATGGATTTGGCATCTTCTTATATATTCTATACATTTTGTTTAAGGTAAGAACAGCATACATTGAAAAGATGGATATATCAACTAAGCAGCCTGAAAAACCTAAATGTTAGTACCAGTTTTATTATCTGGCTTCATTTTAGCCCTGCTCAAAAAAATGCTTAAGCTAGACCTTGGCCTGGCAGTGAAAGGTTGATACGTCTGGTGTTTTTTGCCGTTACGAATACTATAATTAAGAATGCAGCAAAGGATTGCTATAAACCTGTATTAGCCACTGGCGCTTTACACTTTTTTTAGGAAATTTCTTTCCTTAGAAAATATATATGTTTGTGTGTGTCTCTAAATGTGTGCATAATTCTATGTCAGATTAATTTCTAGCATACATATTGCATTCGTTTTTATTATATACTATTGCATGGTATATTTACTGTATGGTTATGTACTATATTATGCAGAGAGGGAATGCAATTACCCGAATACCTTTTAGAACAAAAAGCACCACAGTCTTGGAGAATGGAAGTTTGTGAGGTTTATTGCCTGCTATTCCACCTTAGGAGCTGGCTGAAAGCTGGTTTACAATGCCCCTCAAATGGTTCACACTCGCTTTGAACTTCTTACAGCTTTTTGTTACATGGACCTGACTTGTATGTAGGTGATTACAGCCTGGAGAAGAGAGAACAATCTTTGTACAGTTGCTCTTCCCATACTGCCCAAACTGGCAGTCTATCAAAATGCTAGCTTGTTAGTGAGGAGGGGGAAGGGGAGTAGGCCCTGCAGAAATCATCGTTTCCTTTGAGTGGGGGTTGAATCCAGACTGATCAGTGCCTGAAAAGTTGGGTCTGCTCTGGTGAGTGAAAGAGTCCCAGGGCAAGAAAGAGGTGAATTGGGTGAGTTGATTAAACACAGAGAAGAGGAAAGAAATAGCCTGCAGCTTCTGTGTAGAGCCACCCAGCTTCTGTGCAGGTACAGCATTTGTACAAAATTGGTAAGGAATAAATGGCAGAAAATATTGCAGGAGGGACAAGTGGGTTCAGAGAATCACAGAATCGTTTAGGTTGGAAGGGACCTCTGGAGATCGTCTAGTCCAACCTCCCTGCTCAAGCAGGGTCACCTAGAGCATATTTCCCAGGATCACAGAGGGTTGCGTATATTTCTTCAGAACCTATTGCTTTATTTCAGAATAACTACCCAGTCCACCATTTTTTCCCTTCTTTACACAGAAGAATTATCAGATCAGGCCCTGTGGTGTAATAGATACACATTTAAAATGAAAATGTTCTATTTGATGAGTTATGCTTTTGTTATGTTTAAAAATACCATTCATTCCAAGCTTCTTTTAGGAATTTTCAGTTGGCAAGATTTCCTAGGCATCCTTCATGGTTGTCTGTTTTTGCTGCTGGGGATGCTCTTCTGTGGTTAGTTTATAGCATAATTTTAGCTTTCTATCCTTTTCTTTGCTTTGTTGCCTTCAGGGCTTATGTAGTGCTATTGTTTTAACTCATGCACATACCAGAGCATTTCTTTTTCGCTTACCAGCTATCTTCTAAGGGGAAAACTGCAGCTGGGGAGCGGAAATGTCCTCCTGCTGTACCTGGAAACATGAAGAGGAAAATCAGTAAGTATTATATCTGTGTAGCTGTTTACTCAGTAGAATCATAGTCTGACCAGTGTCTTCAACTTCTGGACACACTATAAAATTGCTGTTCCACCCAGTAAAGAGCAAGCCAGAGCTTCTGTCTTGGAATGAGCACGTATTAACATGAATTTCTGCACCATTAATTTCTAATCGCTTTTGGCTAATGAGAATCTGTGATAGTTGCTTGATCCAAAGTCCTCTTGGAGTCATGTTTTCAAGAGACTCACTGAATTAACTGTACTGATTTGCTGAAAAGCTGAAGTAAGTAATGATTAAAAATGGATAATGTCAGTCCATAATTATTCTATAATCAGTAGTATTCTAGTAGTAGTATATAAAGTTATTATTAAAAGCTAGCTTCATTTTTTGAATTTGTGAATTCATTGCCATCCCCCAGGCTCTTCACTGCTTTTTCCCTTGCTTTTCCATATTGCTCGAAATTTTGATGACTATAATGTAAAGAAAGGCGGCAGAAACATTCTGAAATGTTTCTGTGATTTTCCCTAAACACCAGTGAGATAACAGATTCAACTATTTGTAGACATTTGTTGGAGAAATTAGTAAGTTTACCTTTAAAGCTTGGACAGTAGTTACCGTAGGAGTATTTAAATGTGTTATGTTTAGAGGCTAAATTCTAATAATAAATAAAAGTACTTAGGGCTTTATAGAAAGCATTAGCAACAATGATGTGATGCTGTTCACATAGCTATAATAATCTTGTCATTAATGTTTATGTTAGAATACCTTGTAGATGCTGCATTCAATGTTATAGGTTGTATTTTCAGTGCACTTACTTATACTGTGTTGTGCCTGGCAAGTTTGTGTAATTTTTAACGATGCTAATTGTAATTTATTATCTAATGCTTGGTTAGAGAAACTGACTTTACAGTGAGTTAAATTTTTGCTACCCTTATAGACCGAAAAGCTAGTGAAGAAAATGACTCTGCCTTTTACCAGAGCTCTTCGTTTGTATTCCTAAAGCATTTGCTGTTGTATTCCTAAAGCATTCACTGTAAACTGTAGCAGAGCAGGGGACAGATCACTGGACCAGGAACCTGAATGCGCAAGCTCTTTCGAAGATCACTACCCTACGTAGTGACTGGGAGGAAGTAACTCCCTTTCTCTTTGCCGCAGTATCCTTGTTTCACTGTGTCTTGGTGCTGCAGAAATCAGTGCTTGTAGCATCTGCGTATAGAACTAACCCAGCTTGGTTTCATTTTGTTCTACTGTCAGTACTATGAAGTTTGAGCGTGAGTTGGAACGTGAGCTACACAAGCCAAACAGCGCAAGTAGTTTTGTTGAAGTCCATGCTCTTGCATCTTTCCTGTTCACCACTTTGGCTAAAATAAAGCCAGTTTGGGTGTGCCTGCGTGTATGCATGCATGTGTACTACTGTGTTATGGACACACTTAGCAGGAACCGTTGAAAATGTCAGCAGTGCTTTGCTCCCCAGACATAGTGTGGCTAACCTCTTGCGCATCCAGGTAAGCCTGACAGACTCTGTTAGCCCTCATTGTCTGCCTTGGCATACCTGTGCAGGGTCAGATGCGGTCAAGCCCGTGAACTTTATCCTCTTTGACAAAGATGAGGTTTCTCAAACCATAGACTTAACAGAAAGTGCTCAAGTGGCCTTTTGTCTTTGTTCCTAAGGACTTAGCAAGTGAATTCCATGAGGACTGTTAATTTTAAAACAGACAATAAACTAAACCCTTACTATTCGCTTATAGAAAACCAATGAGATAGATAGCATTTTCTGTTCCCTAACTTCAACCTCCAGGGCATTTGCAGTGACCCGCTCACTGTGCTTATCAGGTGGTAGCTCTAAAGCTACTCAGAGGTGGTGCTTTGTGTATATTCCATTGCCATTGCCTGTAGTACCTGGAAAAGTTGCTAGAGCTCTTTAAGCTTCATGTCCTGGTTTCCTCACAGCCAGTTTGGTTTGGTATAGCATATGCTGCCTGTGACAATAGACCAGGGATACATTTTCAAAGCTCCTGTTGATGGATTTTGTTTGTTTTACAGCTGACTATGAGCTCACCCAACTCCAAGAAAAACTGAGAGAGACTGAAGAAGCTATGGAAAAACTGATCAGCAGAGTAGGGCCTAATTGTGACAGGTATGTTTCAAATTATAGCATTTTAAGGAGGGATTCTTCTCGGATTGGAAATGAAACTTTCTTACAGGAAAAAACGTACTTTTGTGCAAAAATAGCAAAAATGACCCTGGCTATATTAAAAAAGTAATGTTATTTCTACTTCAAAGTGTAGAAACTTGATTTTACCTGTCACATTCTTTTGTTGAGTAGTTTTTTTGTTTTCAAGGTGCATTTTTAAAATAAATCATTCTTTGCAACGTCACTTTCCTTAAACAGAAGAGCAGCTCTCCCTGTCCCCCTGTTTTATATACTGTGTTATTTGGAAGATAATGACAGGTGTGTCTACACTGAAAATAAAACATCTGTATTTAAAGTATATAAAACAGCCTATCTTATGTGGCCGAAGTAATTTTATGAATGAGTCCCGAGAGAGCTGCTTGTTTTATGTTATTTTCCACTGCTGTGGATATTTTACAAATAGAAATGCTGTTATAGTCCGTATAAATGCATGTTAGAATCTCCATAAAATATTTCCTTAAGGGCAGAAGTGTATAATAATCTGATTCTATAACTTAATTCCAACCTTGCAACCAGTAAATCCATGCATTTTCTATTAAATATGAAAGAAGAGAGTTGTAAAATCAGAATTTAAAAATTTATTTTGTTGATTAATGCTTACTATAAATCTTAAATAGATACAATGTTTTAAATTTTAAAGAAACATTGATAATGTAACAAGTTTTTATTTTTAATAAGAAGTGTAGCAACATATCAATGGGATAATTCATAACTGCAATGTTTGAAAACGTAAATGAAAATATCAAGGTGAAATTTGAAAGCAAAAAGATAGCTATTCAAACTGTGAAGCATGTTAACTATTTCTGGATCAATTAACAACTCCTCTGTTTTCAGCCATTTGGTAGGAACAATTCTGTGCTAAGCGTAAACGTGCATGTTACGTTCATTTACACTTTAAACCCTGTTCTCTTTGAACAGGTAGTTTTTGTCCCCTCTGCACCTGTGGCCACTATTGTGCTTGTATTAATCCTGGCAAGCTGAGGCGCCAAACTTGCCTGACTTACAGGAACGTGTCCCTAAGCTGCCCTGTTTCTGTTAGTGAAAGAAGGATACTACTTTGACTAGTCTTGTTCATCTGTATTTGGAGACTTAGCACAATGCTCTGTGCTTATCTTTAAACTGCCAGAATTGGGCTTATGTGCTGCTCAGATACTGTGATTGCCCTCAGTATAGGATATTTCTTACTCAGAAAATGGATCTAGGGTCTGATCCAGTATTTGCTTCATTCGGTGCAATTGGCTCAGAATTTTTGTTTAGTAGAACTTCCCTTCTTTGTTCGACCAAACTATTTACATAGGTGGAGCTAAAGAGCAAAAGGGAAAACAAAATCTGAATCTAATACTAAATATTATACGTAGTTTCTCTGTAAAAGAGAGGGAAAAAAAAGGTCTCAAGATGGACCACATACCTGGTTTCTAAATACAACCAAACTTTGAAGCTTTCTGAGTCTGAACTGAGAAGCTATATCAAGTTCAGTGATACTAGATGAATGCTTTAAAATAAAATGTATAATTAAAAAGTGTAATTAGAGTACAGCATTCACTGCTAGATTTAAATTAAAAGGGAAGAAGAGCGTGAAAATTACTTGTGCTGCATTTATTAATGTGCAGTTAAACAAAAATCTTTACAGTAGAGAGGTCGAAGAAAGAAACAACTGGTATCAATTTTGCATTAATGCTTAAAGGCCCCAAGCGAGGACATGGCCCATTATGCTAGATGTGGCAAAAGAGACGCTCTGCCAGGCAAGTTTTAGTAACAAAAACAAAGGCTTTATTTTTTTGTTGTCAGAAAAACTGATATATCACCGTAACACATAATGTTTGTAGCAGTGCTGAGGTCTGAGCTCCTGCCTCAGTGTTCTCTCGTTATACTGTAAAAGTTCTTCTCTTAACGAAAAAGGTCCACTAAAAAAAAGGCTTTATGCTGGGTTCCCTTTTCTGTTGAATTCTTCTTTGAATCCAAAGATACTTTTAATTCTGTGTATTTTTGTCCAAAAATGTTTCTATTGAACTTCCGGTGAGTTTAGAATAACAGTTGATTCTCAGATAATGCCATACCATAGAAAGAAATCCTATTTTGAAGGAGTAACTTGTGCTGTAGTCTGTAATTTTATCCAGCTTTCTTCTGTAGCAAGTGTCTGTATTGTTTTCTTGCTGTGGCTTGCCCTGATCATTTCTTTTTCCTTCAGTATCATTTCAGTGAAGTGATGCTGGCGGAAGACCTCTCAATACTGTTATCTCTTTAGTCAGATGGGACCGTGTTATCCAGCCGCATGTTGCACAGAAGAGAGGCAGGCAGGAACTTGGACCTGCTGTTTGTACCAAGCTTGGAGACCTTCCAAACCAACATACCAGTTGCAATTGCTAAAGCCTTAAGTACAGAATTGCCCCTTGCAGAAATGGAAAGCTTTCAAAAAGCACAAATGCAAGGATTTTTAGTTAGGACTACCATGTATTAGCAAGGACTAGAAGCAGGGTGAAAAGAGAACTAGGAAGAAAGAAACGTAGCAGGTACTCAGTAACGTAACCATACCTAAACTAAGAGACAGACAAAGATAATTGTTGCCTGATGCACACACTTAAATGGATAGTACATAGTACCTAAGGATATAATACTTCATAGCTTTGAGAAAATTTAGCATTCTTCCCACCTCTTTTTTCAACAAATGATGAATTTAAATTATGCACCTTTATAATCTATTACCATCGCACCCTGTCAGCATGGAGACCTCAATATCTCCAGTTTCTAAACATAGACCTTCCTGGTGCAGTATCTGTCAGCAGAGATGAGAATCCTTGCTAGGATTTTGATGATTCAGAAATAAAGACTTGATTGATGGTTGGGTAGGGCGCTTTGCACTGAAAGCATGCATATTACTTTTCCAGGCTTTTAGCAGAATGTTTGAGTGTTGGGATAGTGGTATAACTAGTGCAAAAGCTTTCCCTTCCCATATCACGGGTATTCTTTCCATCACCCTCCTTAAAGTTTGGTCTCTTTTGAACCCACTTTCAACTGAAGAATACTTGCAACTATTTCTCTCGGTGAGAGTGCTGGAAAATACTCTCTTGCAAAAATTCCAACTTCCAGTGTTTATGTAAGAGGTAGAAATAATACAGCTTGATTGCCTGTTTTTAAAGTCCTGCTTACCAAGCTGGCATTTTGAAAAAAACTTAAGCTTTTAACCATAAACTGAGCAAATGTATTATGGGAGTTATCAGGCGAGAGATATATAGTGCTCTCTGGTGCAATTTTTGGCCTATAGCTGCATTTCAGTGGTGATTTTTTTTTAAGATCGTGAAGCAAAAAAAATGCCAATTGACATGTCTGAGACACCATGTTAGATTATGGATTTTCATTGCAATCATGATAGCTCTTTAGGAAATGTTATGATTTCAATGTAAGAATCAGAAAAGTTGACTATATCTGTTAGTGAGTGCTTTGGGACCCTACAAAACAAAGTATGCATCATTGACACTGTGAAAAGTAATAGCTCTTTTAGAGCTACAAACACACACAGCAAGAATGATGACCTTTTCTTACACTGCAAACCTTTTGCATCCATTGCCCTTTTGTAGTGTTCATAAGTGCATTATACTGATTATACCGTGGGTAACTCTCCCGTAGGAGGCCAACCAGTCAGACGTCTGACACATCACTGGTTCCAGAGTACGTCTTACTGGAGGCATTAAATGAAGTAGTGATATTGCATGGGCTTCGGTTTCTCCCTCTGTACAGAGAATTTTCCTCTTCTAAGTAAGACATCTGGGGTCAGAACAGAACTCTGAAATATGCTTACAGAGCCCTTGTGTTCCAGTAAGAAAGTAGAGGTTTCTATTGAGAGTATCTAGCCTATTAGGAAATATCCTTTGTGAAATGCCACAGTTAACGCAGCTTGTATTATTGATTCTATTATCTGAGCTAGCATATCTCCACACAGTGCGAAACAGACTGGTGTTCAGTGCCTGTCTGTCTTTATCCAGGTGATATATATTCAAATTACATACGTTTTTGTCGATAAAGGATTAGTTTGGCAGCTCTATTTCAGCTATTGTCAAAGACAGCTAGATGATGAAACTGTTTCCTCTTGCATGCTGATCAATTTGCATCTCCAGTTCTTCATCTACCTAATCCAGGCTTTTTATAACATGCCATCTCAAACCTTCACTTGTTCTGTGGAACAAACTGCTGTCGTTACTTGATGGGTCTCAGTGCAATCTCCAGACGGATTTGGGACTATATGAGCTTTCCAAACTGTTGGGCAAAGCCCCCCTTAGGAGAAGCACAATGATGTGGCGAGAACAAGACTTCTGGAGTTCAGTCTTGTGACCTCAGTCAGTTTAAATCTGAAACCAGTGAAACCTGTGGGCCTGCTGCTGATTTAAATTCAGTTACAAACAACGGTGTGTATTGTAGCTGTGAGCAAAATCTAACCCATGCTCTGCAATTTGATCACTACTGCACAAGCCAGCAGTGTGATTCTAATCTCATATTGCCTTTATATTAATAGGATGCTGCCTTTTGTAGAGTAGCTATCATGTCAAAATCATTCCCTTATCTGTAAAGCTGCATAAAGTACATGTTACCTTGCTACTCTGTTCCTGACAGTTAGTAAGAGGGAAAAATGAAGGTGGAAGCTGCAAATCACATGGAGCTGCAAATTTTCAAGCGTGTGAGAATTTAGGCACCTGAAACAGGGTTTAGATAGATACTCATCACTTAAATCCAAAATCATTAACCAGTTTCCTCCCCCTCCTTCCCTAAGATTCACAGAGCAGCTGTCTAATCCTGGAGATCATCCGTTTATGTGGTGGGCTGCAGAGCGTCAGCTGTAATCTGCCTGACCTTATGGATCACCTAGTTTAGCATTCTGTGGACACCAAGAACCACCCTGTCTGAATAACTACGGGTTATAGATCCTGCCTAGAACACAGAGGGATTCAAAAAATAGCCACAGCAATGCCTCAGTCTCCAAAGAGTTTTGAACTGGTACCTACACAGGAGAAAAACAGAAACAACATGAAACAAGCACAACAGAACCGTTTTCGTGTGTACTTAGGTGCAGCCAGTGATCTTTTTGATTCTGACCTGATGAGTTAGTGGAGCTTAGGTCCCCACCTGCCAAGTACTTTCTTCCTTGCCCATAAGATTTTTAGGCGGCTTTATTTCATAGAAAATAATAGTATTTATTGACAACATAACATTAGCTGTTGGAAATATATTTTGTTGTAACTGCAAGTAATTGTATTAACTGAGCGATAATATTCATTAGGATCAGTAATGTAGAACCAGTCAAAATTACAGTTTTAGTCTGATAAAAATATCAGTCCTCTCCTACCAAGGGAATCTAAAGGACGAATTATTGAAACATAACATTCCCTTATCATTTTAAACCTTCCTTCCTGCTTCTCCATCTTCCCTAACTAGACAGTGTTGTCGAATCTGTTGCTTGATATAAGAACATAATGGTTTTGTCTAGCTAACTGACTTATTTTCAGTGAGGCCTTGCAAATTTAGTATCTTTAATGATCATAACTAGGGAGTCATTAGACTGTGGGAGACTAATGTCTCCATGAGACGTTTTGATCAGGCCCCACATGTTTTAAATGTAGCATAGATTCTGAATTGTATTTTCTTATGCCTCAAACAAGGCGTGGTCTTCTTACTCTCGCTAAACCTTGTTTTAATGGCCAGACATTTCTGTAGTCTCTTTCATACCAGTCAAGCAATTGCATAATTCTTGCTTTTGTATCACTTTTATCTTGCTCTCATGCTGGTTGTACCTGCCTTCCTTCACCTGTTCAAGATTGCAGGCTTTCTGGATAAATGCTGTACTTTATTCTGAGTTGAAGTGCAGACCACATAAAAATGTTGAATCGTGACCATAGTGCATCCAAGGTTTCTTCAGCATGTGCTACAGAGACCAAACTCAAACTCTGAGTGAACACTGTTAGTAGCTTATAGTAATAGTGGGCTGAATTCTGATATTTCGTATTTTCTAGTACAACTCAAAATGTTACAACAGACCAGGAGAAGAGGTTACTTCAGCAACTCCGAGAGATTACTAGGGTTATGAAAGAAGGAAAATTCGTAGATGGCATCTCTCCTGAGAAGGAAGCTGAAGAAGCTCCCTACATGGAGGACTGGGAAGGTAAGCAAGACCATTCTTACCATTATCCTGAAGATAAAATTGTGCAGCGACTACTCTAGCCCCACGCCCTGTCAGAATCTGTTGCTACTTTGTGCTGTCTTCTACAAAGGCAGTGTTCAGAACTTTGCAAGAGCAGCCTTGTTTTCCCAGCCCTAATAATAGAAAATGGATTTTTGGGGCATCCACCATTTTATACAATGCAAATACCACATTATCTGCCACCAGAAGTGGCATATGAATGTCTATATATGCGCCATCTGCTGCTAGGCCTTGGCTGTTGCAGGTTTATGTCTTTTCATTTCTTCACTGGGCCAGATTTCATACAAAATCATAAAAATCTTGGAAATGGGAATCAATATGTTTTTTCATAACTTACAGATTTCTACTTTTGATTCATAGTTCTTTGCTCGAGTATTGTAAAAAACAACTCTAGGAAGTTTGTCTTTTAAAAAAATTCTCCATTGTAACATCCTTTCTATTCTTAATTGTTTACTTGCTATAGAACTATTTTCAAGACATACCAGTTGAGCTGTTAGCTTTTAGAATTCTTAAGGCATCTTGGCAGACTTAATTCCTTGCTACTTAAGAAGCTTTCCAAAATGTAAAGCATGAACAGCACCCTCGAGCTCTGTTTTCTTCATGATGCATTTCTCTAAAATGAAATGCACAGCTATTGGCTCATATCTGTTTTTCCAACTTTATGAGCGATGCTGTTTATAGCAAGAATCTTCAAAACATTAATCAGTCATTCTGTAAACAGGGAGAAAAAAATGCATCTATTTAAAGATCTAAGCCTTACACAGTTTTCACCTGTTAGCTCCCACAGCTTTCTGTGAAGCTCAGGCATTAACTCCTGAAAGTCTGGGTTGAAATCTTGACTCCCTGAAAGTCAGCAGAATTTTGCCAGCATCTTCCGGGAACTCATGTTTTGCACATTCTTGGCGTGGCATTAAACAAGTTATACTTTCAATGCTAAAAAAACAGTTGTTTTTAATAAACTTGTACGTTCATCACTTAAGTTACTACTACTTTTAAATTTTGTTAATGTTTCAAGCTGCATGTCACCTTCTTCCTCAGGTTATCCAGAAGAGACCTATCCTGTCTATGATAATTCTGATTGCTTCAAGCATAAACTGGACACAATCCTTGTAGATTATCCTGACCCAAACCAGCCCTCAGCGGAAGAGCTAGCAGAAAGAATGGAGGGCATGGAAGATGAGGATTATCTGTGCAAGGAAACCCTGCTATCTAATCTCACCACGGGGAGTGGCAGCCATGATATAATGCAGAAGAAGAATGAGGTAACTGGCATCAGCGACCAGGGCAGGGACCTTCATGGCAGCCTGGCCTTTGAGGAGCGCTGTTACTGTTGTGAGGAGGATGACGATCCTGCTGTCGCAGCAGAGAATGCTGGATTCCACTCTGAGAGCTGCAGTGAAGCAGAAGAGCCAGCCAGAGAGGAGCTGTCCGTAGAATCCGACAATGAAAATGCAGCACTGAAAGAGCAAAAAGCCAGTGATTCGGATGAAACAGGCACACTGAGGAAGCGCAACACAAAAGGACTTGAGTAATAGGGACAACATGTGGACATGATCTAGATGGTGACAGTAGAGGTCATAAACTGTCATTTCATGTGGGTTTTTGTTCTGATGTTGCTGTTTGCTTTCAACTCCTTGTACTAATTTCATTCCCACAGTAATGAGCGCATCATCTCCTACCTGAACTGGAAGCCAATGCCCTCTATCATGCAGTCTTGTCATGGCTTATACTGACTTGCCAGCAACACTTTGTCTTGCTTTTTTGGAGGCTGATATGTTGGAGCAGATTACATGGTTCAGCTGTTCATGATTCTTTCCTTTCTAATTTCTGAACAATCGGTTCTTATTTTTGCCATTGTCATCCAAGAGTTAACCAAATGTCTCTTCTTACAACTATCTGCGTCTTCCTTATGAAAATGACTCAATATGTATTTATGAGCCTATCAATCAGGAAGATGGAGGAGAAAATATGCTTGCTTTCTCTTACCTGGATGTTAACTGATCGGCAGAACAGACCATAGTCACAAGACTATTTGTGTATTTTGTATTTACCATTTGTGCTTTGTCTTTGCCATGGTGATTCTCCTACTCAACTGTTGTCCCCGCAATCCACATGCTACCACAGCCCATAGGGACGCTTCCTAGCACATTATATGCTACAGGACCAGATGTCTAATCTATTTCGTGCCCTAGGAAGAGCATGAGAGAGAATGAAGCATTACCATTTGTGCTTTGTCTTTGCCATGGCCGTTAGACTGCTTGGTGAAATGCCGAAATAAGTGCAGGGATCAGGCCATAGCCTGTGTTCTGGAAGACTACTGAAAATATCCCTGGAGAGCCACCATGGGACTTGGAGAGTACTGCAAGTGTATTTATTAAACAGCTTATTTTAGTCCAATCTGTTTAACAAAATACATGTAGCTGCAGCATAGCAGCTTTATTCTTAGCTCACTGGGGCATAGCTTAGGTGTGTTTGAAAAGAGAGTGTCTTGGCCTACACACTCAGATCAGGCTTTTTAAGATCGATGGATGGCTGCCTTTGGGTTATTTATAGAGAATTCCTACTACAAAAACTAGGTCATACTAAAGGAATAGGGAAAATAATGGAGAAAACATATTGAATACATACCCTGTTTTATTAGGAGCATATTTATTTTTAAATCATTTGATAAACCTTTATTTTGTTTTTGTTTTTGTTTCAAAATATCCTGGACTCTTTCAGCACTGGCTTTCACTTTTCACCATGGCAGCAGTTTGACCGCTCTCTGAACTCATGTTTTCTTCACTGGGAATCTCTGCATGTGTAAATGCCAAATTGTAATTTCTCTGCCTTCATCTGTATCCTTGAACTGGAGCACTAACATCACCTGACATCAGTCACTGAAATGAAAGCTGTTTCGTACTCTTTGCCTGCTAATACTGTCATATACCAGCAATTGAAGACTTTTATCACAAGCTTGTCTAGCCACATCCCTGTGGTGGCAGACACTGTCCTTATTTGAAAAATTGCAGCAGCAGTAGATTGATACTATAGTAGACTGATACTGTTGCATGGCTTGCCAAGCATGCAGCCTTTATTAGCTTTTGCCAGATGGTCTATGATATCTGTACACCAAGGCTTCTGTGGATGTAGCAGTAGTCCATCTCCTTACCATGACAAACAAGGATGCCATCTCAGTTCTCCTACAGCTTACAGAAACATGGACTTACTTACAGAATTTGTCATGTCTGCAAATATGTGCTTATGGTGTGCTTCAAATTCCCACTGCTTATAAAGGTATGTGACATTAAAGTAATTCATGGTTTTTATTTGAATTTGTGCTTGAAGTTTCCAATATATTTTAAAACACATTAAAAAGTATGTTATGCATAAAGTAAAGGTAAGGTTGGATTTAAAAAAAAAAAAAAAAAAAGGCTATTTTCATACCTTAATAAGTTTAACTAGCGTAAAGTTGTTTTGCGTAACAAAGCTCATATGCCACAGTGCATTAATCATAAAACTACTGCAGAAGGCATCAAAGTTTTCATGCTGCTAAGGACAGGTCAACTTAGGACAATATCCAGCAAGTCACTGTTTGTGTATATTGTACTACGGTTTATACACAAACATGGGGTATAGGTAAACAAACATTTCTGTTGGCCTTTTTGGTGGTCACAGTTTCTGTACTGGCTCAGCCAGTAGGGCTACCGGGCCTTGACACAGCACTGACTATGAAGACACACACAAAAAAATTTCTCATACCTATTTAAACTGCTGAGTGCTGCATTAGTTAGTTATGAACCAACTCCAACAGCAAGGAGTGTAACATGAAAAACTACTTGAACAACAGAAAAGGAGCTACATCCCTGATAAAATAGACTAATTAGCAGTATATTTTGAGATGAAAGGAAGAAGGTCCACAGAAGGACTTAGGAATAACAAAGCTTTTCGGTACCCGTTGGCCTAGCAGAAATCATGGTTTCCACAATGGCTTCCCTTGCAAAGCCAAAAGAACAGCCAAACATCACCAAGCTAGGCAGGTAAGCAGGGAGCTGCTTTGGCTGAACACTAGCAATGTCAAAGGGAAGACTCATCCCTAAAGAAGATTGCGTCTAAGCGCAAAGGTCACTATGTCCATTTGGAAATCTCAGTAAGGAAGAGGTTGTTAAGCATTTAAGAGCTGTCTCAGCCTCTGCTTGTGAAAATTAGAGCTAAAGGCAGCCGCCTGTATTAATGGGGACACTCAGTTGCAGTAGTGTGAGGCATTATTAAATCCTCACACTGTGATTTGGAGCAAGGGCCTACCCTTCACTTTCCCCCTAGGATGGCCTAACTAGCAGGCTATAGGCTGTTCTCTAGCAATGTCCTCTGGAGCTGTTTCACTTTGCATTACTAGTTAAATAGCCTTTTATCTGTGCGAGACATATCAAGAAATAGATTCAGGTGTGGCTGTGGTCCCAAATTAATAACAAAGATTTAATTCCTAAGTAGACTGTTTTTTGACCTTGTTTTCTTCTGATCCCCCAGTCCTTACTGGAAAATCTTTTTTTGACAGAGGAGTGGAAGTCCAGAGTTTCTCTTCAGGCCTCTTAGCATAGATAATTATAGCATTCAGCTCTCTCCTGGGAATTAGTTTGACAGGCTAACATGATCACCACAGAGCCAGCACATAGCTGTGGATGACACAGGCACTAAGCACACATTGTACTGGAGTGCAAGAGAACTATTCCTTCAGAACACCAATATCAAAAGCCCAGTGAGCCCATACTAAACCAGAACCAGTCATTAGGATTTCTTCTAATACCTATGACACAACTAAAAGCTTTTTTTTTTTTTTTTCTTTACATCACCAGGAAGAGACAAATGATGCTAATGCAGGTTGACTGGTGCCAAAGAATCTAAACAGCTCAGTCACTTTGGCATCCCCATCCAAGGTACCAGTAAGTGCTGTGAGAATGGAGGTATTTATATCATCTCACACAGCAGTTTACCAGCAGCCTTCAAACGGACTAAGTCTCTTCCTGCTTTTATATGCCACTCTTATTTTTGTTTGCGTCATTGCCCCCCCCCCAACAGAAATGTGTATTTATAAGCATTTTAAAATAGGCTGCTCTCACAGGTGTGTCCAGCATTCTTAACAAGCAATCATTCATTCGTAGGAGACAGTATTCATGTTTTGAAGAAAAGCTTATTTGGATCAAATCAGCAGTTCACAAAGAACTTACCAGCTTCTAGTCTGGGTAAATCAAAATCATAGGGCAGAAAAATCAGCAAACCTGGGACTCCAGAAAAAAAATTTTAGAAGCTCACTCCCACTAAATTCAGAGTCAGGCTTATTTAAAAAGGACATGCTCCTTTACTTATCGTATTTCCCACCTAGCAAATTAAATGAAGATACATTCTGTTAAAGCTAAAATAAATAGCACATGTTTAAAATAAATAGTTTGATAAAAATTTTATAGATATCTCTCACTATATATATATATATACAATGATTAATTATTTCTGAGTATTTGTACACAGGTACAGATAATTACAGGTGTAACATGGAATCAGAAAAATAAATAAAATATGGATTATCATCAGATAATCAGAAATGTACTGGGCCCCAAAAATGCTATAAACAGAATTACTAATTCAGTAATGTTTGGATAACAGGTAAACATGTAAGATGTTTTTGATACGACTCACAGACTTGCCCATTAGTGTTCATTTGTTGGCGTCTTTCCCTTTTGAGCTAACTGTAAGGCAGTAAGAAAAATTTTGAGGTCACAGCCCAATCTAGTGCAATAATCTTCTATAGAAGTGATTTTTTTTTTTTTTTTAAACATACCATTATCAAAATACTGTTTCTATCCGCATGTATCACAAAAACTGGACAAGAGAACCCAGGTAAAAGTTATAAAAGGGGTCTGTTTCTCAGTACTCTTTAGCAATTACATATTTCAACAAAAAAAAATACAACATCATACCTAGTATTCCTTGTACAACTGCAGCTGGAAAGGTGGTCTGGTGAGCTGATTTTTCTCAGCTTGTGAACTTTACCAGTTTTAGGGAGAGGCACAGGTTCCTGGAGAGCAAGTCTAGACACCTCACAACATGCTTGTTTTTCTAATCTTTCCAGGATGCCCTTAGATAGCATCCAGAGATCACTCCTGCCCTTTGTTGAAAACTACTGATGTGATCAGCCACCTGCCAAAATGCAGGATTACCCCCGCCTGTGTTGTTCCTGACAGAGATTTACCTGAGGAATCTGAGTCTTCTGTCACTGAAAGGTTCTGAAATAAGATGGTCTGTGCCAAGGTTCACTAGCCTAACACTAGTTCACAATTTCCTGATGTTTAACCTGACTCCTCCTTGCTGCTGTTGGCATTATTTCTGTCACAGATACGGAGGACAGACAAGTCTCTTCTGCTTTCCAGTAGCTTTTTACATATTTGAAGATTTTTTTTTTGTCTTTGTGTAGTTGATTATTCCAACCTAAGTACATTTGCTGCTCTTGTCCCTACTGAACTAACTATTGCTTAGGTTTTTTTTTTTTTTTCAGACCATTTTGTAGTCTTGTTTTGATATAAATGAGTAGACCAGAAATTCAGTCCTTACCAATAGAATCAGAAAGAGTTCAGTTAGCATTCACAGAAAACAGCAGCGAGGTTAGCAGGCACTGCGGATAGTTCAGCAATAGAGATCTAAGACAGCAAATAATTGGGCTTCTACTTGCCCTGTGTTCAATTAGCAGTCTCATTGTCCTCTTTCTGAAAAATGAGCAGGAGCAGTATTTCTACACTTTGCGTTAATTTCAAGTCTTTGAGCTCACAGTTCACCAAAAGATGTTTACAGAACGGGTAAAGTCCGATACTGCCTTTTTTTTTTTTTTTTTTTTTACAGTTCTGTAGTCTCATGTCTCTGTGCTTTAGCTGCGCATAGGTTGCCTATATTTGCACTCTAACCATTGTAGGTCCAAAGGGTTACAGTTCTGTCTGCAGAAGATGAATTTTTACAGAAGGGGTAAAGTCCGATATTGCCTTTTTTTTTTTTTTTTTTTTTTTTTACAGTTACTTGTAAGTTTTGGAATTCATATTTTAGCATTAAACATTAAAAAAAAAAGTTTATACAGTACTGGAAACTCCTTATGTGAATAGCCCCCCCAATTCTACATAGATATTTATTTTGAATCTTGGGTGGGGAAAGATATGCTCATGTCAAACAGATTAATATTTCTGCACAGATGTTCTCTATGGACAAACACTGAAACCTCTATGCCATACGCAATGTAAGTTATGTGAAAATACAAAATTAATTGTTGCACAGACTAATAAATAAATACATTTGCTCCAGAATACCAAAGAGTTTCTTTAAAAAATTTAGTTCATAAAAGCACATTCTTGCAGGTTTATCTAAAACACAGAATAGTTCTGAACAAAAATGAGATGCCTGACTACTTAAAACAGGACAAGACCGTCTTGTGCAAACAGACATAACATACGCATTATGAAAAAAAACAACGCAAGTGGTTAAATATAAAGACAGTTTTTCTCAATTGTGATATGTTCCCCTTTTAAATCCCCATATAATTTAAATGAAATTTAGATGGTAACTTCCTCATTCTACTGTATATCATTCATTGGTTTATTTAAGAAAGGTACAGCGATGGATTAGAAAATGTTCCCCGTGGGAGAAGAAATTTTTAATAAACTTTACTTTTTCGTTTTATTATGACAGAAACATCCATGTAGCACCTACATTTTCTACTTGGAAATTGAACTAAACAAGACAGCAACAATGATGCATTCTTCTTAGCACATACATATATTTGCACACATAACATTGGAAATGTTCACAAAGGCATAAATTAAACCTATTCCTAATACTGAGAATGCCTGCCATACTGGGCATGATGTGTGCCCCTTTATCCTGTTTATATAATCCCCAGATGCTCTTATTTTCATGCTGCTGAGTACAAGATTTATTATTTAAAATAAACTGTTAGTTTCAATCACAGGAAGAGATTTTTCGCATTTTTAAAACAGTAACAAAAGTAACAAAGGTCCAATATTCATCTTTTTTTCCATAAATATTTTACCAGCAATAACTTGGTTTCTTATTGTACTTGTTCAGGAAACGCCGTATGCAATATGGCAATTATGCAGAGTCAGTTATTCAATATGAGTCCTTAAATCACAGACAAGTATTAACAGTGTTTTGTTTTTAGAAATGCCCTGTCTGGCTGCAGTAATAACATCTTAGACTTTTAAGGCACATTTAATAGAACATGTCACGTTCCTCACTGACCGACATTTATATAACCCTTTTGGTCTGAATGAAGCTTCATGGAATGTGCGTAAGAGCAAAATTTGACCTCCCTTCCAAATCCACTTTCAGGAGTATCTGTGCAAGTAATGCCCGATTTCTAAGAATCCAGATAAGCCCCCTCCCTCCCCCCATTTAAACAAAGAGAAGAAATCATTAGGACGCTTGTAGACGTGCAAGTACAGCATTATGGGGATACAACAGATGTTAGTGAGGAAAGTTTCAGTTATACCAGTGGGCTTTGCATTAGGCCCTAAATAGAACAAAATGTGTGAAAATAGCATTATAAAGAAATTTCTGCATAAATCTGTTTAGGAGAGAAGTAATTGGTAGAGGGAAAATTCTTACCAATATAACACAACATGAGCAATGACCATTGTGGTCTAGAAACCAATACTGAATCCTATTACTCCCACCAAAGGATGCCAAGTAGTATGCCAGGTCTCTGGCAAGAAATCACCCTGCTGTCATTTCCCCACCATACCACCACCTCCTGCCTGCACACTGCAGTTCCTCGGCATGTGCAAATGGAGCCTGTTGTCACTTTTATTTGGTTTTATGTAACTGCACTCCTTAGCTTGTTTAGTCCTCCTGGGCACAGGGCTGAATATAGTGCAAGCATAATTAAAAAAAAAAAAGTTATTTTCTTATATGCAGTACAAACATCTGAAAATTTTGGTTGTCTTAAAAAGCCACAAGTCCCAATTTCTGCCTTCAGGAGGAGCTATTTCTTCAGTATTAGAACAGCAGTATCTCAGTGGCTTCACTTCTGCAGGTCTTTTCTTTCAAGGTTTCATGTACATCTCTGCAGAAGTGTCCTCAGACTGCAGACAAGTGCACGCAGGGTAGGAAACACCACACGGGGGGAAAAAGCATGCATTGTTACATAGCAGAATGACAGTGAGCATACAGTAGTTGCATTGCTTAGTGATAAACAGCCCTCTGCAATAGCTATGCTGTGTTTTTCTTTTATGATGACTGCTTGCATGAATGCTAAAGAGGGCTTTCATTGTCTTCCATGTACAGGCAGATAAAAATGAAAAAAGGAAGAAAGGAAGATTATTTTCGCACTAAGCAAAGTTGTGATAGGCTCTGTAAAAATAAACCTGGTCATTCTGGCATAGTTTACACCATACCCCTACCATCAAGCTAAACTATACTAATAAATGAGCTGCTTTTAACTTACAGTCCGTGGATCCCTGTCATCCATAGAAAGCCAAAGAAGAACATGGGCTGTAGTCAGGAAACTTAACTGCATTATACAAGTGTCAATAAATCAGAAAGTGCTGAAAAGCACTGCAGCATTAAAAGAGGACTTTAGAAATGAGGCCTCTGGTGTATAGGCTCTGAGCTTTGACACTACAATTCAAGGAGGCAGCTGCTAGAAACACTATACTGCAAGTCATAATTGCTGCCCTGAGAATAAGGCAAGGTGAATCCCTTTACATATGTTCTCCAGCATCTTGGTCAGAAACCTATTCCAGGCTTTAAAATTCACCAACTACCTTGAACTGTGCAATCTGATGAGTAGCCCCATTGAGGATTACGCAACCGGAAATGCAGGCCACCCTACTTCAAAATGAGAACATATACACAGGGATTTAACACACTTTAATTTACAGACATTAACTTTATAGCTTTCATTGACTTAACTTTCTTGTGTGTCCCCATACAGAAAAACTTGCACAAGCTTGAAAGAAGAATGTTACAGAAGAATAAAAATCTGGATTGTAAAACGAGGAAATGGAAGTAACACAGATTATTAAGAAGCTGAACATGAGCATCTACCAGCCGCAAGAAGGATTTGACGTGGTAACACATAGGAGTTCATCCTTACAGACTGATCTGCACGCTCCAAAAGACAGAATAGTAACATAGTAATTGAGACAGAACCTATGTTAGTTAAAAAAAAAAAAAAAATCTTGTCATAGTGTCATTGAATTCAATGGCTCTTGAGAATCCCTAGTAGCTGAAGAGCCATATTCCACAATCAGCACTGCAGACAACATTGCTACAGTTACTGCAAGAGACAGCATCACTGCCATGGTCCTACTTTAAAAAAGAAGTTAGGAGTTATAATATATAGCATTTTAATGTTTTCAGTGCCCACTATAAAACACTGAATCGCCAAATAAGTAGGGTTAGAAATTAAATGTAACCCTAATGTTTTTTTACTTAGAAAACCTCAGTGGGTCTGATACAATTTATTTGCTGAGCAGCTTTTCAGTTCCTGACATTTGCACAACACCCTAACGTCTCTTCTGGGCCGTTAACATAAATTAACATGAATGAAACTTGGATTTTAGTGTAATTTCAGTTGCCTGATTAAAACGCTCTGTAGTAGTAGTGTTTGGTTTTCCAGTATTCCCTGTTAAAGTGAAAGAGCTTAGTCTTAAGAATGTCGTTCAAAACTGAGATCCTCTGTCCGCTCGCTAGTCAGTCACCTCTGGTAAACAGATGAACACAGGTTTGGGGACGGAGAATGTAGTTCTCGTGCCCGCTCCACAAATACATTTTTGATTTTTTTTTTAATAAATGGCAAGTGGAAACCTCCTCGCCATTGAAAGAATACTACTGCTTACCTACTGCTTCTGAATTGCTGTAAGGCTTTCCTAGCTGAAGTGCATCATCTTTGTTAAGGACTATTTTTAGTTTCTGATTATCTGTTCAGGTTGATGTTTACTGGCCTAATTACAGACTGACCCCGAGATGTATCGGAAAGTACTGCAATAAGAATAAAAATAAGGGGGGGAGGAGGAAAGGAAAGCGGTGCCATTCCGGTAAAAGAGGGCTGTATGTTCAGGCCAGGTCCTAGTGCTGAGTCACAAATTTAGTATGCAACAGGGTCATTGGATGTTTTATGGCACACGCTGTGCTGCTACCAGTAATAAGACTGCTTGTAGGAAAAAATTTTTGTCATGGCACTAAGCACTGATTATTTAGCCTAGAAGTCCTTTTTCTTTGTGTTTTTTTAGGTCAAAAAGTTAGTATTTTTAGAATCAAACACCATCTACCAACCTCCAACTTAGAGGCAGCAGAAGAGCTGCTTTTTTGATACAATCTATTTTGTTTGGTTAGCAAAATCTCCAGAAATGGAGGTGCATGGGGGGGGAAAAAAAAGGGAGGGAGGGAATCAAGAAAAAGCATGTTGTAAAGGCTACCTTACTTTTTTCCCAGCAGGACTAGCAATTTCGTTTCATATGTCAACTGAGAAAAACTTCTGGAAAAGGCAGCTCCCTCTCAACTGAATGAACTTTGGTCTGTGTGCAGCTACTTCAAAGTCTCTTTTCTTTGAGCCCAAACTACATCTTTGAAAATGTTTTAAAAAGAATAGCTCACAAATACCAGTGCTTGAAGACACAGGAGGATCAAAATAGTTCTACTTCTAGCCAGTGAGGACAGGAGATCCTCCCTAAGGAAGAGAACACGATGGTAAAATTTGTGTTATCTTCTAATATGCCCAGTCTGGAATGAAAAACTCCTCTTAAAAAGTGCAACATTTCACAAACATGACTGAACACTGAAATTACATGGCATAGGCGGTGCCCAAAGCCTGACTGTTGAGGCAAAGTATACTCTGATTTCGTATACTTGGGAGATTTTTCTCCGCTGGCAAAATAACTGATCTCATGAGATAATTTGCTCAGACCTCAAGACTACATGTCTCATAAAATACTTTCCTAGACAGGAAGCATAGCCTAAAACAAAAATCAAAGGGAATGATGTTACGTGTTTGGTAAGTTAACACAGGAAAGGTACATCATTTCTTAGGGGACATGCAAAAGTGCCTAAGAGAATTAGGAGGCGCAGTCCTGTAAGGACTTTGGAAATCCCATCACTTACTGTGTCCTGAAAACTCTGAGAGATTCCTGCAGCCAAAGGCTCTGGGAGTTTGTGTAGGCCAAGCTGTTTCCATTTGCACAGATGTATCTGCAGGATCACAAGCTTACTACTTAAGTGAGATCTCAAACTTCAAGGCAAGCTTAAGGAAATAATACTTTGAATGAATAATTTCCTTGTAATTTCAATCTATCTGTGAGGATTAAAATCAGCTAGATGTTAACACTAAAAATCTATAAACACAGTTTAAAGCTTGCATTCTATTACTTAAAGTTTGTTTTATAATTTACCGATTCTTCTAATGAGCATTGTGCCAACTGGGATAACCTCAGTAGAAAAGCCCACAGTTATGGGGTCAAATTTGAGAAGCGAATTGCATTGTAAACATCCCATGAGAGTATAAAGGCAGTCATAAATCCTAAGACTCAGTGTTTTTAAGTCAGATGTGCATAACAGAGTCACAGTCTGCGGTAACAACAGTTTTGAACAGCTGAGTCACATCCAAGGAAAAAAAAGACAAGTAGTACAAAAGGCAATTTGCAGCACAATCACCACGTGCGTCAGTTTGCTACATAAAAGCATAAATAGGCAGCTAGATTAACTGAATCACTGCAACACGTTCAGGAATAGTAGTTTTAAAACAAATAGTGGTGCAGACTAAAACACAACCAGTACAGCACTGTGAAAAAGAAAAGTAAAACAGATTGTTTGTCTTTACTGCTTTTCTGTACATTTTGTGACCAGGATGACAGAGAAGGTAAAAAGTTCAAGCCCCACTGAAATCATTGGCAAGACTTCCATCAAGTTCAACAGTGTCAAGGTTTTATCCTAAGGAAGCAGTTAGCTATTCAGTTTCTAGAGCAGATAATTGTTCTTATTTTACTGCAGTTCATCAGTAACAATTAAAGAGGATATTTAGTGTGTGGACAGTGCCTGCCATCCATCAGCCTCTAAACACTCCCCTTCGGCCCCTCAGACCAATGGGCCCTGCTACATATTGTTTCCACTCAGCTCGTGGGCGCTGAGGCTCATAGAGTTTACATGCCTTGCACAAAGTCACACAGGAGGGATTAGAACCTTATCCCCAGGCCTGTGTTCTAAGAACTGTTTGACACTCTTCTTTTAGGCTGATTTTAACACAAATCTCTGGCTCGTAGGGACATCTTTGGCAAGCAGTACCTAAGCACAGAATAGAGGCATTACTGTTCATTGTTAGTAGGCTGTCTCTCAAGTAGGACTTCAAAACATTCCAGTTCATGTGCAAGCAAGCTTTTGTCAGAGTAATTTTCAAACTGCCGCTGAAGGCTTAAATAAAACCAATGATAAGCTTTCATTGTGTTATTGAGTAACTAAACTATAAAGTGAATAGAAAGCTTTTTTCCCTCAGGAACATAAGTGTAATTTTTCTGAATTGTGTCATCTTCCTAAAGCAATTTAGCAAAAGCAGTGTACTGTTTCCATTTTAAAAGAGTTCAAGAGAGCCAGTTAATTCAAGTCTTTTCACTGAAGGTAGGGAGAAACATACCCTTATTGAGAAAGAGAAATCCGTAATTTCTAGGCAGTTAAAAAAAAATACAACATATAAAATAAATTTTAATGCATTTTCACCCAATACACAGGCATTTGCAAGTATCAGCTACTGAGCTATATAGTTCATAGCAAAATACCAAAACACTGAGACAATTGTGCAGATCTTTTTCAGAGTTCCTGGGCTAGTAACTGTAAGAACTGAAAAATCTCTGCACAATTCATTTTGAATACCTACAGAGTAGAACCCTAAGAAGAACATTTCATACATGGTGAACACCACAAAACCACTTTCATGAAGTGGCACATCTGAGAGGAGCCTGGATCTGCAGTTATGTGAACACCAGTTCAAGGTTGTGTGAGAAATCTGAGAGCTGTCAGCCTGTAACCCTAATAAATGTGATTGCCATTCTATTACATGTGCTGTCCTTATTAGCCAAGCAAAGACACTTTACTGGTGAGCACACGTTTCTCTAAAAACAGGAAAAATCCTGCAGATGTTGTTGCAGGAGAAAAACAAGATAGTAGGGGGACTATCTGGAATTCCACAGGATCAAACCAGAAATCTTCCCTCTGACATCTGCCAAACGTCAGTAGAAACACTCTCTGCCTAAAACACCTGACAACCTGCTCTCCTGTACTACTAATGCAAAGACAAAGTATTCTGATACTGGTTCAGAGTCTTCATTTCTTCAGGGCAAGAATTCATTTGCTGTGTGACTGTATAGCATCCCGTCCTTGTGGCATCCTTATGTAAAATAAATAATAAGAAAATCACAGAAAGCTAAGATGCAAGGACTGGGAGTGAATTTCTTTACTGAAGGACCAAAGTGATCTCATTCTTAAGGGGCAGCTCTCACATAGGGTGAGATTTTTATAGGTAGAAAAGTAGGTCTAATGCTTAGTGCTTTCAGAGATGTTTCTCTGATGTCTATGCTTCTTCTAAGTGCCTCTTAAGTCTTCTGTTCATCAAAAGGCAGCAAAAAGCCAGGAAGTTAGAATTGATGGCTTTAGTTCACCATGACCGATAAAACTCTGTGGTGTCATTTGGGCCCACAGTCGTGGAGCTACAAGATTTTATTACAGAGCCCTTTTCACTAAAGCTTCTCTGTTCTAGTACCTCATGAGGAGAGCCAGCTGGGAACTCTGGTACTATTGTAAGGCAACTTGAATAGCGAGAGATTTGCCCAGTAATTATTAGAAAGCCGTTCCTGCAGACTTCTGAGCATCAGAATTCATAACAATGGCCTGCAACATTACTATTTTATGGGATGAATGCACCTTTGTGTGCCATATAGTATCCTACAAGAGGAGCAGAATGATAGTTTGTTCCTAGAAATAAACTCTTATTTGAGGGCACCAGCACATTTCAGTTCACAGAATCACTTTCAAACCCTTGAAAAAACGAAAAAATAAGGCAAGACTACAAAGGGAATTTGTATAACAGTTTGCCTCCAGGCTTGTGGACAGTTCTGCTCATTGACTGCAACCAATGGCTTGGAAACTAGTTACTGAATGTTTACTGAAAGAAATTCTGATTACATTTTAGTCAAGCTTTTTTTATCTACTACCTTTTAATGTGTTAATTTACTCTACTGAAAAGCCAAAGGGCCAAATTCAACCCTCTGATAAGGCTTCTATTGTAGGAGCATCACTGGATGTGCACTGAAGGCATTATCCATCTGTAGAGAAATCACTGAGTAATATTGTCAAAATAAACACTTTTGAGTTGCACATCCTCAAAGAAAAGATAAAGGGATTGTGAAGAGAATGAAGAGGAGCACATGAGAGATGAAGAAAATTAGATAAAAGATTAGGAAGAAACTGTTTAATGTAAACAGAGTGACAAGTTAGATTAAGAACTCTCATTAAAGCAGGGAGTATTTGCCTATAAGCAATTCAGGCAAGGAGTTTGTTTACAACACTGCCAAAATCAACAGCAGATGCAAAAAAAATCATCAATATTGAGATTTTAAATAATATTAAAGCTACTGTATTCCAAATACACACTGGAACTACGTGAAGGAAATATATGGCTTGGTACCATTCATGTAAGTCACACCGAGTGGACAAGGTTTATTTCCTGTTGCACACTGACATGCAGCCACTTCAGAAGCTACTACTAATATGGCTGTGCCACCAACTACTCTAGGTTATTGTAGTATGTATATATCTCTCAAAATTTGTACTGGTGCCAAGAGTTTACTGCTGGTGTGCAGGAGAATCTAATTTCATGAGGATTGTGTAATCTCAGATATGCTCAGATGGAACCTGCAAGTACGTTCAGGCAGAACCTGCAAATTCATCAAGTAGTCAAGAAAACAAAATGTGGAGAGCTGCTGGAAAACTAGTAATATCACTTCACACTGATATGCAGTAGTGCCCTTCACTGGCAAGTATCCCTCTCAAATTGTACAGATGCCAGTCTAAATTAAAAGCAACTGCTTTTTAGGGCCAGATGATAGTAGGTGAATCAAAAGAACACAGGACCTTGGCTCAAAACCAGTGAGGAATCAGCATTTTGGCAAGGGACCTAGACACAAATCCTGCCGTAACCGACACCAGATTTCATGAGAGCTTCTCGTTCCTATTAGCCCCAAGTTAACATCCCCTCTAGTGACCTGAATTTACGGTGGGGAATTTCTCCTCAGCAGTTCCTTGGCTGTTGTGGCTGATTGATTCTGCTAATATGATGGGAATTCAGGTCATTGCTTTCCTCCTGGCATGCTTACAGATTAAAAAAAACTGGCCTGGAAAGAACATGCAGTAAGAGGGAAGCTGCACAATGTGCTGGTAGCAAAACTATCCCAAGAAGTTGAGCTCTCTGCCTTTCCCCAGCTCCTCATTCCCACTCTTGGGCAGAAGTTCATTACATGTGAGCTTCCATTTTGTGCCAGTTCCCTGTGCGGCCAAGATGCAAGTCGGACCATTGTTATGATCCAGGTTAAAAAAAAAAATCTTCCTAAGCCAACTTCACTACTCAAGCCAACAGATTGGGTATTTGCAGCATAAGACTTGCAGTCTTATGATACAGGTCTTTTGATACAGTTTTGTGCACAGAGAGAGGCAGAAAATTATGCTAGGATCCACTTTCTTGGGTTATAAAGAAAACGTACTACTGGTGATGCACAGAATTAAAGCCACACAGATTCAACCATTCCCATGCTGCAGCATACCTGATATCCAGATCAGACCTAAATACCAGCAATAGGAATTCCCGTTTTTGCAACAGGCTAAACAAAAATTCTGATCATCACTGGCACTAGTGTTTAAAGACTGATGACAGGTAACTAAAGGCATAAGAGCCATCTTTGTGTTAAAATTCAAAGTGAGGTCATGGATGGGGATGCGAGGCAGTACAAAACCACCAACTAGGGGTGGAAACAAAGCATCCACATACGAAGCACTACGTAACAGACTGCAGCTCCTGACTCATCATTTTGATCCTTCTCTGAAGGATCTGACTGCTCATTTACCTCAAACAGAGGTGACTTTCCAGCTTATACAGTTACGTGGAAATGCTTCCTGCAAAAAAGGCTCAAGAAAAATGACAGCCTCCTGTTATTTAAAGATCACATTTGACAGGCTGAGTCCCTCAAGAAAACAGTTCAAAGCTAGTAGACTTTTTTCCCATAAAGACAATTAGGAAAAAAAGCTGTCAATTATTTATTTCCATCTCCATCTGAAAAAACTTTCAAATATTGTTCACTGTGAAGTGAACAATACCAACGGCAAGCATATTAGTCCCCTGAAACTTCCTTGCCTGTATACTTGGAAGGTGACCTGAAGGCAAATGACAGAAGACAGCGTTATTTCTTTTATTAAATTACACAATCCAAATGGCACAACCTGTCCTTACGGCCTGTCCCCTACAGTCAAAAAGGGATTGAAAGCTATGAGACAAGCAGATTTGATTTCATTTTCTCATTATATAATCTTTGGTTGTGCAACACAAGAGGCTATAAAGAGTAAAAAGGGGGGATCTGAATACACACAGAATAAAACACAATTACTTTTTCACTCCACTCACATTTCAATAATCTTTTGGTGAACTACATATAAATTCTATTATTTTGTGTGCCTTCTGGGATAATATTGTGTAGAACAATATAGAAAGATTCATTATTTTTAAAGGTGTTTTAAGCTGTGCTTTCAGGTGCAGCTCTTGGCTTTTGAGATATTTAGAAGAAGAGAGAACGGCTTGCTCTTTGCTTGTGTTTTGAAATGGTATTTGTTTATATATACACCAGAAAAATCAGAAAAACAAAACAAAACAAAAGAAAACACTATTGCAAGCTATTCAGTGTCCTGCCAATATCTCATTTGTATGCAACATGCACTAGATTTGCCTAGAATGATTTAGCTCAGTAGCTGGCACGACATTACATTACAGAATGAAATACAGAGTTTCAATCGATTTCAAGCATTCTTACAATGGTAAATAAATATGAAAAGTCGTTGTTGCTGAAAGTTCAAAAAAATGCAGTCAACAAATTTTAAAATTGCAAAAGGCCAGACAAATTTAATAAAATATTTCCATTTACCTTCCTCAGCTTCACATAGCCTGCTTAAAATGAGATTCTGTGCAGACAGCCTTTATCCAACTGTTTGTATCACTTCATACCAAATATGTGTTTGAATTACCACAGCAATACAAGGATATAAGTTCCCAACACGCAACATGCCAAATTCAACATAAGTTAGGCTTTCTTGGCATCTCGAGGGTTTTCTTTTTCCTTTGCTGTATTTCCACTACGTTTTCATTTTAAACAAATTAAAAAGCATGTAGATGTTAAAACATACATAATGACAACTTAGAATTCAAGTGACTTGTGCAACATTATTTTGTGCTTTCTACTTCTCCATTTCCTCCTCCTGCAATTAAAATTCACCATGCCCTTCTACATATACAATAGCAATGCATCAAGTTCAGTCCAGTATAGGATTTCAACCCTCAGACTTGGCTTTATGCTACATGAGATCCTCCTTGCAAATTCAAAAAAGTGCATCATTGTTGTGATCTTTCTTTTACCTTGAAAAAAAAAAACAGGAATGCAACCGTGAGGTATGACTGCAGCCTCAGAATTATTCTTAAATGTAAAAAGAATTTTTTTGAGAGCGTGCTTTCTGGATTTATAAAAGACACACCATTATAATGGTGCTACTAGAGCCACGGTACAGTACATCATGGCACATCTCCATAACATAATCAAGAACATGAGATAAGACTTCTATTTACACAAACCTGATGCCACTTTCAGAAAAATATGAGAGAAAAAGAAGGAAAACAGTATTTCCTGAATGTCCTGAATTTTTAAAAGATTAATTTTATTTTCTCCACAGCAATATAGTGCTCCTCCAGAACTGCATTTTCCCTGACCTGTTTAGTACAGACTGTCAGTGACACCAGCAAGGGGAATCATATGGCAAACTGCTTCCTCTGAGAGGATGCTCTCCCATGCCCCTTTACTCACAAGCCAGCTTGCTGTCAAAGCTTGAAAGGGCAATAGCAAAGGCTTGTAGTGCGCACATTGGGTAGTTGTAGTCCATGGTGAACACATCCTCAGCCACACGGCCAAACTGCATCACAATGTAGTCAGCTGCAAGAAAGGTCATAAAAAGCGACAGAGCATTATTGTCGTTTGCAGCCCCTACTAAATAAGCATGCATTCAACACCGTCCTCTGCCCCGGAAGAACACTACTCACACATCAAACTTTGCAACACTTAGTCATGGCAGTAGATGTGCTGACATCAGAGAGACAAGCAAGGATATCTTGAGTGAGGAATAGCTGAACGATTAAGGATTGCAAAACTTGCACTGTCTTTTTAAAAAAAAATTACGCAGAGAGAAAAATGGTCTTTGCTTTTATAGGCATGAAATTTCATAAACACAGAGAGAAAACTGCTTCTGTATAAAATTCGCAAGCTTGTTATATAGACCAAGTGCTGAATTTCATATGTACCAAGAATGGACTAACTCAATTCCTACTTACTTTAGGCAAGTGGATAAGTAAAGATAAAAGGGAAGGAGAGAACGTGTGATTGCAATCTAGGTCTAAGCATGTCTCCTAGTTATGTGAAATTCAGAAGTTTTTCCTCAACTTATTTTCTTTTTTGTACTTTTTTTTTGGTCAGGAAGAGGAAATTTCAGCCTCATTCATAGCCTGAAACACGTGGTTTCATTCCAGGACCAGACCTAATAATTTTCCTTTAGAAAATGCAGCAAATGCATAAATCAATATTTCAAACTCAGTCTAGCTGTCAGAGACTGGCACAGCCACTCCTATCACAATTTCCAATGCTCTCTTGTTGTGTAAGCATGGCACTGCTCTAACCCAGTGTGGTCCAGCACCTAGTGCCTATTTATGCCTGCCTAAAATAAGTGCCAAGTGGTGTGAAATCAGTCTTTCCCCTGCTCCAACAATTGTACCTTAGCCTGAGAGCTAAGGGGCCATACGAGGCTGGAGGAAAGCACCGTACAGGTGAGGTCCTAGTGGTGGTGTGAGAGGTAGTCCCAATATTTTCAGGTTGGGTACTGCAGGGCTAGGAGTAGTAATGGCAAAGAGGATAGGACCAGTCTGACCGCACCAGCTCCAGGCAGACAGTGTATGGGGACCACAGCAAACAACCAACTTGGGAAGGATTCGTGCGCAACAAGTGCTGGAACAGAGCGATACTGCCCCACAGTCCTGCTGGCTGGAAGCAGGCAATGCAGCACAGAGCAGAAAGGAGTCTGTACTGCTCCTTGGTTCACAAATTGGGCAGCAAAGGGAGAAAGCTAAGGTAGCACATAGCAGAATCACTTCTAGTAGGTATCAAACAGGAGCTTTTAAGCACCCAATTTACACAAATCTAATGGCCACACAAGGCAGAGAGCAGCGAGTTGGACCCAAGTAACTAAACTCATTCAAGTGAAAACAATAAGGGCAGAATCACTGTCAAGCTGCGTATGCAGTACTGTTTCCACACATTTCGCTAATGGAGCTATACTTACGGTCATTATCATGAATAATTTGGAAGTTTTTCACGGAGGCCTGCGTGACTCGACCATGGAAATTTAAAACATAGGACTGGGTGTCGTCATTCCAGACTGGAGTTTTGTTATGCAGTTCAATGACACTCTCTGTATTTTTGTTCTGCCATCTTGAAAGAAGTGTCTCATGTTCCTGCACACACCAGATACACGCTTCAGTTTAAGACTTTCACAAGGCAAAAAATACATTCACACAAAAAAAATGTTCATAAATCATAGTCCAAAGACAAAATTGTCCCCCTCATTTCTCAGCAAAGCATCACTGAATGAAACAGAGAACTCTGAGGTATCTGAATGAGACTGTGCATTTAAATCCTTTCCACAGCTTGGAAAAGCTTAGCTGTATCTTTTGTTATCAAAACATTCTATTATTTGTACTGCTATTGTGAGCCAGAGAACCAGTTACACATCCCGTTGTTTTACAACTGTTCAAACATAGACTGATTTTTTTAACCTCTAAGCCTTCAGAGACGCAAAACAACAACTCTAACTGAAAAATAATTCAAGTTGTTATTATTGTTGACTGGTGGTATGCCTTACATTTCGTGGTTTGATGGAAACTCTTTCATGGTCCATATTCATTCCTGGTATGATCACACTCATTTTGCGAGGTCCTTTAAACCCCAAGACATTTGTTTCCTAAAAATGTTTAGAAAAGAATTCATCATGTTCTGTTTTTCTTTAAGTTAACTTCTTCAACAAGAGAGATACATTGGCAGCCCAGGGAAATTACTTGCTAGTCAAAGCCATCTCAAAAGCCATCTTGAAACTCCTACCTTCACTGACGCTGCCAAACATTCTAGCTTTCTCTTAGAAGCCCCGACAACAGGAAAAACAGAACTGGAGAGTGTTTCCACAAACACTCCTATAACTGGCTGCCAGTAACCTTAATACAATAAAAAAAAAAATTCTCTTTGTTAAAAAAGAATATATAACCAGATCGCTTGGATACTCAGTCTCAAAATACAGTAGTTGTAATTTAAATACCATACAGTTCAGTCACATATTTTGATGAGAAACAAAATTAAATATATGGGGACCAACTCCATTTATTCCATAGCCAGCATAAAAGCAAATAAGCAGAAGCTGCCAGTAAGAGCATCTGTTAGCAGTGCTGTGGTTTTCAAAGTCTTCAGATATGTTGAGCTTAGAGATGAGGATGGTAAAAAAACAAACATATTAGCATGAATGCAAATTTTATGAGCTATAAAGGCAGAGACAGCAGAGAAATAACATAGGCACCAACAACATATCCATGGAAAATACTAATTCCTCCATTAAACATGATTTGGTTCCTTTCTAGCCAGGTTTTCACCAAACCATCTAGCACTGTACTATCCTCTCAAAAAACAACCACTAAAATCCAAATACACCTGAAGTCTTTTTTTCACACGAGGCACATTTTTCACTGAACCACCTGGGGCTATGTATTTCAGTAAGTCATCTTCTTTGATCCCAACAAAAAAAAAAATAAAGGCTGTTATTTTCCAACTCACTCAGTAAAATCTGATTGTATATTTTAGCATTAATTTGAGTATTTGAAAGAGAGATGATCAGTGACACCTCTGAAAATTCATCCCTTCATGTTATGTGCCTTTTTTTGTTTTTTGGTCACAAGGCCCTCTGCCCTTCCCAAGTGAAGGGCTGTGGACACCTGCTAGGAAATCTCAGGAAGAAAATTCCCATTGGTGATAATCCCAGTGACCTACCACAAGATGCCAAGAACAGGTCACCTCCAGGCTACAGCTGGTATGGCTCTACCACTGGTACTTTCAGAAGTGACAAGTGGTTCAGACATCTCTCCTTTTACACATTTACCTAAAATGTTTACTTGGAACACAAAGCTTTCTACAATATCTCTACTTTTGCATGCAAAAATCCACGCATCCGGTGAGGGTTTTCCACTCGCTAAAAACATCTGAAAATACACGCCTAAAATTTACTCATGCAGAAAAAGTTTTGCCATCTGTCAGATCTTTGAAATTTCTTTGGCTGTTTCAGCAAACCATCTGGAGATTTTACACAACTTACTCAAGAGCTTCATGCATGCAAGATAAATCCCATTGAGTTATTTTGCTGAAGACTCTTGAAGCAGTCCAGTTACATTTATACATCTTCAAGACTGTATGCATCAATGGGAAATGTTCTACCTCTTTTCTGAAGCACTTATATCAAGGCCTTTGGCAGACTGAACGAAAGTCATCAGTTCCGTTGGAAGCAGCTACTTGGTTCTGTATCATGGTGAAACTCAAGCTGAAATGACTGCCAGTAGATTTTATAAGCAGGAGAGACTGAGCACAGCAAAAGACAATTTCTAAGAAAAGATTCATGTTTATGGATATTTTCAACTAACGACTGTCAATTTCGGTCTCCTCTGCAATGGCTTAAAAGCTCTTCTCGTCAAGCTGCAGTTATGCTATATACAATTCATTTAGATGCTGACTGGTTAAAAACATTGTTCCAAGCAAAATTAAATAATAGTGGTGAATCACTTCCCTCCCAACAAGCAGTATTATCTCTCTGAAACAAGAGCACCATATTCTTTGGATTTACTCAGAAACACTAAAATCAACACTTCTGTTAAATAATATGGGAATGGAAGGGAAAGGTTTCTAGTTGCACATTACGTTAATCTCCAATCATATCAAATGTTTTCTTGGCAAATGTTAACTATTTGCTAAAATCAAAGTACAAAATTAAAATTCCATAAATATGGAATACATAAGTAAAACAGTAGGGGCAGAAGAGGAGCTTTAATTAGGAGTGGATCTTTCCAATAGATCTGCATCCAAATGAAATTAATTCCCCTTATCTTCTGTGCCCTTCCTTGCTTCTCTTCTATTTCCTCCCTCCAGTATTTTGTGTGTGTATATTCAGAACTACAAATGGCAGTATTAGGGGAACATGGGCCAAATTCTGATTTCACAGCATTTTAATGCCACTGACATCTTGATTTACATAGGGACTCAAAATTAGTGTTTTTAGCTGGCAGAGCTCTATTGACTTGACCAGCGCTCTAATAATTTGAATCAGCTACAGACCCGGCCCACTATTACTTGGAAGCCGTACTCTGTCTCAGCCCAGCCAGAAAGCTGATCCTGTAAGGAGGCATCGCAACAAACTTGACTGAAAAAGCACAGAACCTCTCCTCAGTTTTGTTTTTAAAATATTATGCACTGTCATGAAATTATGTAAGCATTTCACTAGGACGGCAATAGCTGCCATGATAAAAGCTATTTGCCGTATATCTCCGCTGCTTGCTTGACAACAGCTCTCTAGGAGACCCATGATTGCTTTAGTTATCCCCAAGCTTTCCTTGACTTCAGCCACTTCCTTTTCTGGATTTGACTCACACAACAGTGTGCCTTGCCCTTAACATAGTCTGTAGAAACAATCATTCCATAGAAAGTCCAAGCCCACAAAACCCAGTACGTTACATCACAATGCAAACGATTAAGGCCTGAACAGAAATATGTGATTTCATTTTTGCTTTAAAGAAATCCAAGTCACCCCTCAGACTATCAGCTGAGCTCCAGGCTTGCAGAATCAGATGCAAACTGAAGTGTGAGCTTCTGTGGATATAAAGGAACCCACAGCAGAATGTCCTGGTACAAATGGTACAGTTATGCACCCTGGCTCTGGATAAATTTTCCTTCACATTTATGCACAAAACCACAGCGATTCTTGAATCAGCCATTAGGTGCTGCTGCAGGTTTATTAATCTGCTAGCATGCCATCAGTGAGGAAGAGTAAAAACAATTCAGAGCACCTGATGAAGCGCAGTCCTTGCACTAACTTTATCCGTGTTGCTTGGAACATGCCCTAAGGTGAGCTCCACAAGGAGAGATTTCAGCACGATTACTACACAGTTAACGGTGTGTGCATCGCCAGCTTCTCCTTGTATAAACTAGACCTGCTGAGATGTTGGGCACAACTCACTCTCCAGGTGGGTATTTGATCAGAGTTGCTGAAAGGCAGCGAGCTGCACAGTGGTACTTTCAACATACCGTTTATTATCGTTTCTGCTGCAGAAAAAAAAATCAGGGCAGGAATTAAAAGGTTACCTAAGGACAAGGGTGTTTGGGGAATGGTCTTTATGGCATTCTTCTTTGCTGTGGTTCTGCCACAGACAGGAACAATCTCACTTTAGCAAGTCTGGCTATTAATGAAATATCATTAAGATTTTCTTTTGTCACGTGGCCAGAGCACACCTGCAATCCTGCTACCTTACTCCATAAACATTAAAACATCAATGGAATGAGTCATTTTCTTATATAAATGTGCAAGTTTTAAACTGCTGATCTCAGAACAGGCATATATAAACATCCTTAGTCTTAGCCACATTCTCCAAACAGTGGCAATGGTTCTGTTCTTTCCAGTACTCATGTCACACTTCTAGTTACCTCCACTGAACTGCAACTGAGTTTTGGATTTGGTAACGTTAACGGTTCAAATGTCATTGTTGTTGATGTGCACAAGCAAAGCTTAAATTTTTCAACATATAACTCTTTTTTTAAACTGCTTTTATTTTCTCCTTGTATTTCCAGTTTGCCCCAAAAGATTAGCTGCCTGGCTCCAGGGAATGCCCTCCTATATAAACCAGTAAAATTAACTTTGCTAAACATGTAAGTTCTTTTACATTCCTACTGAAACCTCCATCCAGCTGTAAGCTGATGTGAGATCATGGACTTTGTCCTGCTAGATAGACCTCCTGAGAGTCTCAGAGATGCCCTGGGGTACCAGGGCAGGGGTGTATGAATCCAGAGGCCAAGTGCCTGAATGGGAGAAATATACCATTTATACTATACTCACACAAGACCTAAGCAGCAGGAAAAGAACAAGTTGACAGTTAATATTGCTGCCCCTCAGTGCTTTCAGCACTTGACATGGGAAAAGGTGGCTCTCTGCTTTAATTTTCACACCTGAAAGCTTCCAGGTGTGAAAGGCCCAGGAGGCTGACCTTTCCAAGAACACAATATGTGGATTTGTACAGGATACGCTGTGACAGATGGACCTGCCAGAGCTCCAGGCATCCTTGATGAGAGCGGAGCAGGAACTTTTCAGAAAAGTGTTTTTTGGGGGTATTTTTGTTGGAGGTTGTCGATTTGTGAAAATAGAAAACTTTTTGTAGAAGCACGTAGAAGTCAATTTTGACTGGAAGAGCTTCTTCTGCCCAGAAATTTCTGGGCAGGAGTACCCTCACCAAAAGAGTAGTCCAATGATCATGTAACAAGAGAACTGTGCTTCAAGTCCTGATTCACAGCTGCCTTCATTATCCCTGACAAGTGCCCTTCAGTAGTAGGCTGGTTTCTCTTACTCAGGTGCATTTTGGATTTTCTTCTCTCTTCTTTTTCCTAGTAGAAAGGAGTTCCAGAGCTTTTATCCTGAGTTTCTCAGCCACTGCTGCAGATGTGGCTATCCAGCTACCTGTGTTTTGGATCAGAGAGGCCTCCTCCAAAACATCATTACATTTTGCCTTACAACGTTAAAATGTTACTGCATCATGCCTTAGTGCAGTAAATCCATCTGTATAACTGCTCCTCCCAAGTCAGCAGGCCTTCTCAGATGGTACCTGCATGACTGTAAAGCATCCTACCCCTTCCAGAGCATTATGTAAAAGCTCCAGCATCTTCTGATTGAAGGTGAGAACTGGGCAACCTGGCTCTGCACACAAAATTTTTCACCTCTACTTTCAGCTGAAATTCCTGGTTTCTGTTGCAAAGATCAGGTGTTTGATTGCGTCAAAGCACGAACGCTGATTTACATAATTGTAAGTGAGAAGGAAATTCAGTATGCTATTTCAGAAACTGAACTGCTCTTTCTTGCATATTTTGCCTGTGAGCAGTACTTACGTAACAAATAGCAGCTAGCTCCTGACGCAGGATATTCGCCTCCAGGCTTGCTGTTGTTTTCATTGGATTTACTCCGTTGTCATAAACTGTAAACTTGGTTCCCATAAGATTTGATCTATTAAAAAAATGGAAAAACAAATTACCTTTTGTCAATAACACTGTCTTAACCATCTATTCTTCACTGTGTTATAGCCCCAAAAGAAAGACAAAGAATATCAAGTACAAATAGTTGCCTCCTCAAATCACAACTGAATGGCAACTCCTAGATTACAGGCCATAACAAAAATGTAAAGGTACATTACGGTGGAGTACAGTAAAGGTCCCTATAATTACCCCAAAGGTTTCTCATGACATCTTAAAACTAGTAAATTCAAGAAGGCAATAAGGAAGCATTGAGGTGGGGTTTTTTGTTTTGTTTGTTTTAGTTTGTTTTTTGTTTTCAAGAATATGTTTATTCTTTAACAAAACATTTACTCTCTTACCTGTTTGACTACTAGCTCTATTAGACTATGGACAGTGATTTTCATGAAGTTATAAATAAGGTCAGCTTTTACTATTTAAATTGAAATCATACAAATGAGAGCAAAATATGACTTTGAGTATATTAAAACTGGATTATCCTCATCCTGCGTTTATACTGCAGTAGCGCACAAAGTTCTGAGATCTACGCAGGCAAACACCAAGGAGTAGTAAGGTCCCTTTCCTCAGGCACAGACAATCTAAACATACACTGAGAGATACCAGGTAGATACGAACAACAGACTGATGTACGATGGGGTGACAGGTAGAAAAGAAGCATGTGGTTCTGAAAGAACTGCATTACTTGTAAATAATGAGGGCCTTTAGGCAAAAGGCAAGAGATTTTCAGAGTACTAAAAGAAGAACTTCAAAGGTGTTTATATCAAAAGGGGCTAGACAAAGTCTGCTCATGCGCTCTGAAAATCCCATTAGATTGTCTGCCTCTTCAGGTGCCCGTACACCCCTGTGAGAATCGGGCCTTTGGGCATTTTAAGAGCATCTGTCCTCCTGACTTTTAATGAGATGTGACCTCTTAAGTACTTGAGACATTTTGAAAACTTACCGCAGATAACTGAAAACTTTAAGACAATTACCACATGATGGTATAGTCAAGACTAGTTAAGAGGTCATAGAGCCTGATAGGTTTAATTTCGGATTAAATCTGTATTATGCAAAAAACAAAAAAATCCTTAGATGTATCAGTGTTTACCTCAGTTTTCCAATAAAGCTCTCTCCACCTCGAGACAGGTCAGTTGGGTCTATGGAGATGAGGTAATTAGAGGTTTTGCTCTTCTTTCGTTTCCTTCCAGCTAACAGAAACACCTAAGCAGTGCAAAAAGAACCATATTCTAGAACGCCAAAGGGGTTAGCTCACACTGCATCCTAATTTGATATAAGGAAACCAGAGGCAACTTTTCTGTCTTCCAGCATCATTACCAAAGTCACAGAAGGTGACCTGGGACTTAGCAAAAATAGATACAAATCAGAAAGGGAAAGTGACTTTTTAACCACTCAGTCCATTATTTATGGTTTAAATAATTAAATCTGAACTATTTTGTTAAATGTTTAATTCTAAGCTGCACTGGCTCTTCCAGTGGGATTGAAAACAGAAGCTTTTCAAACCACAGAATGCAAAGAGCCCCAACTGCTGACTGTCACATTAAGCTGCCATGCATGGGATTCTCTTAAGGCCAAAGATTAGATATACATGAAGAAAGGAAGTGGAACAAAGTGATACTCTTGTTTTGCTTTTGGAACAGGAACATATATTTAAAATATAAGATTATATTTTCCTTGTCAGATTTCTTCAGATTTTTAATGATTTTTATATTCAGATGCAACTGGTATGCCATTCAAGTTATTTTATGACCTTTTTACCATGCTCCCTTTCCAAGTGGAGGTAATAAGTAGGGTACATCCCTCGATCCATTCCCTTCTTGTCTCTTGTGATTCTGCATTTGACGGTGACACCTTGTGGAGCAGGTCTTACAGCAAATTCCTCCAGGTCATCAACATCAATGAGAGGCTCATTCGTGGAAGGACTGGGGGCTGAGGCTGCTTCCTAGAACAGTAAGCAACATTCAGATTTCCTCAACTTAAGTCACACTGTTATAATTACAAAGGAATGGCATTTGACAACAGCTGCACTTCAAAAAAAAAAAAAAAAAAAAAAAGACATATTGTCTTTTCTGTTCCAATTCCTCAGTGGCCTCAGTGCCTTCAGGGCAGCTTCTCAAGTTAAGGAACTCTCTCCCTCCAGTCGGTCAGGCTCTTGGCTACTGAAGGCCTGTGGAAGGCTTTGGGATGCTTAGTGCTCAGGACACATTTGGCAGAGTGGAACAGGGCAGCTGCACCATCAGAGTGCTGTAATGGCACAGAGCAAACTCTGGCTCATCCTCATCTCAACATGCTTCCTTTGAGAAGTCATACCAATGAAGGACAGTGCTGGTTGTTGACAAAAGGAAGAAATGGGCTGGGGAGAGACAGATTAAGCCAGAGAAGGCTGTAAGAGAAATGAGAAGTCGGTACAGTACAGAAAACAGTGGGGCATCATCAAGTAGTTTAGCTAGTGTTTGTGGCTTAGAATATTTAAACATCTCAAACTTCTATTTTATCTTTGGACAGTAGCAGTGAAAACAGGGTGGGAAACTGCACAGAGAAAGGCAATAGAGACAAAAGATCTTTCTGCGCACCTGCGCAACGCAGAAAGGTAAATATTTACTGTTTACCTTCCTCATCATTCATGTTCAGACAATATTTGCTACGCTTTTCTCCAAGTCATTATTTTCCTTGCTTCCTTCTGTGAACCTTGAGAGTTATCACAGCAAATCACCCGAGATACTTTAGCGCATATTAAAAACGAAACAAGAAAGCCAGGCCTATCCTGACTGCGCTCTGCAATCACACAGCACATAGTAACCCTCACTACTCCTTTGTTTGTACTGACCCCTTACCTTATTGGATTTCTTGCTTGTGGCAGAACCAGGACGGGTGTTACTGTTTAACTGTGAAGAACTGGAACTGTCTTCATCTTCCTCGTCCTCTTCCTCATCAAAATTCATGCTGCTTGAAATGCCTGCGGAGAAAGCAATGCACTTACATGAAATACTAATATAATAAAGCTACACATACTGGAGGCAAAGTATCATTCATTATATTGTTGCACCCTGAGGCTTACAGGTGAGGCAAGGTGAAGGGAGGGACTCCTTGCATAAGGTACCGTACATACATGGGTGAGACGGTACCTGCCCTGAGGAGCTAAAACGTTTCAACAAATGAGAAAGGAAATATCATGATTTCCATTCTACAGAGAGCACTGAGTTACCCAGCAAAACACAAACAATACTCAGCTAGGAATTAAAACTCAAACCTCCTTTTTCCAGGCAAGTGCTTCAAACACAACACAACATCTTAAATCTGAAATTGGAGCTGAGTGTACAACACACCACAGCTACATGGAAATTTTAACAATTAAAATATGAACCCTCCTAACAGCACGCTTACCTGATCCTGCGCAATTTCATGAGGAGCAGGTCTTGCAGTGAGAAAAAACATTCATATCAAGGAAATGTTCTCTTGTATATTTATTTAATGAAAAAATCAGAACATCAGCCCAGGCCAAAGGAATCGCCACAGAGCACTTAAAAATTTGACTTTACAAGAATCTCAGAAGTCAGATATTTCAAAGGGAACAGAACTTTGAACACCAAAGAGCACTTAGCAGCAGAAGGTGTCAATGGTGGGACATTTGCCAGCCCTAGTTTTTCAAGGAGTATCATGCAGGGGAAGTCACCCTGTACTTAAGTTTAAAGTCTAAACTCCACATATTAGAGGCAGACTATACAAGATTTTTTTCCAAAAAGAGAGAGAGAGAGAGAGAGAGAGAGAAGAGAGGGGAGGAGAGGGGGGCAGAGGTGGAGAGAGGGGGGCAGAGTTGGGGGGAGAGATATTAGTCCAGAACTTCCACTAGTGGTTAAGTTAGATGCAGAAGGATAAATGAAACAGAAAGATTTCTGAAGCCAGGCAACCTGGGCATAATTAACTTATTCCTTCCGTACTTACCAGGAACATGATCCAGGGCGACAAGACTGGATTGGGAGGTGGAAGTGGACCAGGATGTATTTGCATGGGGATCTGGGAAAGGAAAAAATCCATGGGCTTGGTTCTGCAAACCCTCATTTGTGCAAACAAGCCTAACTTGTCAACAGGACTCCTCACAGGACTAAGGGCTTGCTGGATGGGGCCATAATGCTGCTGCCAGAACTTTCCTTATGCCTTATGGAAATCCTATTTCTCTGTACAACCAAATTTACCTTCCACCTGCTTATACCTGCTGTCATCTTATTTTTTAGAACTTTGAATTAAGTAAAAAAGACCTGAATTGCAGAACTGAAGCTTCATAAGGCATCACCCACGCTAAATGGTTTCATTGCAAACCTTCCTGTGTGCTGTGTGTCCTTCATGGTAAGTTTTTGGCCTTATTATGAATTCTAACACACAGAAATACAAATTGATAGACACAAGTGATATACCCAAGTTCTACACAAATGCTTATTCAGTAACATTGAAAAAAGTATCCAGAATCATATTCAGACAGCCTACATTCTATCTAAATCCCTTTGCCCAGCGTGTCCTCTTCACTGGCTAGGCAGCTGCTGCTCACTGTCTTTCTCAGGCTCTTTAAATTGTCCTTCCGGTATTTCCAGGGATGGACAGAGAGACTTACATGCAATTTAGTTTTTTGGAATATGGTCTTGGTCTGCAACAGACAGAGACTGAACCAAATGAATGCACAGAAATATAAATATTGGAGTCAGTATCAATAATGGAATTCTTCAGTTCAAATTTTTGGCACTGAATGAAAAACAACATTAAAAAGCCTGTAATTATTTTTATGCTATTTTCATGCAATTATTTTTTGCTGCTTCCAATAACTTCAACGCATATCCCTTTAAAATAGCTTTTGACACCAGATGTATACTGGATAATGAAACAACATCAAATTAATAAGAGGGAAGAGTATAAAGGTGAAATACACATATATGCAATGTTTGTATTTCATGCAGATGCAACATGAACGGTCCCATTATCCACTTTTTCAGTTCCCTACTCTGGACATACACCACACAGTGCGGCAGCATGAAGTTTTCAATAGAATCTGGTATGCAAGTGAAGCCTGAGCTCTAGGGTCAACAGATACATTTTCAAAGTCTGCACAACTCACTCATTAACCATAAGCATTATTTCCTAATAATGACAACCATGTTCTAGCCAAATATGCATGGTTAATCTAGGCAATCCATCTTCTCGGCTGGCATCTGTGCAGAAAAGCTGGTGCTTGCATAAGCTATTATGCACAGCCATAATCTGTTACTTTCTATATTTGTGCTAACAATTTCACCACTAATTTTTTTGGTGGTGAAACTTCTGTGCCGTTCTTAGAAAAGCCCACTCTCGGGCGGGAAGAATGCTTCAAAGAGCTCCTGTTTTAATCTTGGACCCGGAAATCAAATCTATTACTTCCTAAAATTTCAAAACAGCTGCAGCTTCAGGAGGAAAAGAACTAAGACCAAATTGCTGCATTCCAAGTCTTTGCAGAGGCATATACGAAACTGACAAATGCGAAGACTAAATGTTAGTTATTCAGTGTTAAAACTTAAGGAAGTCTGGCTCTGTCCTAGTGACTCATTTGCCAGCAAGGAAGTCTACATGTTAAGACTACTGAAATCAAAAGGATGAATATTTCCTGCAGGAAGAAAATGATTCTAGCTATGGCAATTTCCAACAGATGGAGAAATCAAATAAAACATTTGGCATTTGCTTGCAAGTGGCATCTTCTCTTTGCAAATGGCATATTTCTTTGCATCGTCTTATAACAGAAACGGACTTTCTAGGTGATCTTTGGAGAGCAGAGCTACATTCTGCTAAGAAGCGTACAAAATTTCCCTCCACAAAGTTACCGTTAAAGAGCAGAATGGGAACAAATCAGGGCTGTGCACATCTAATTGGAATCGACCTGGCCTTTCCCACTAGGCCAGTTAGTGCTCCCTTGTGTGGTTTTCTCCTTTTGCTCCTGTTCCATGTAAGACAAGGATTGATGATGGGTGATAACAACTCTGAACACTCTTTAGACCAATGGGGACACAGTTGTAAGGATGTGCTGTAAGCTGTGAAACAGCACGGGGAGTCCCTGTGAAAAGCCCAGCTTTACATGAAGGTTCCCATGAATCCTGGAATACTCAAAACTGTCTGCCAAGCCTCTTCCACTGGCATCAAGGGGCAAGCCAAATAATCAGTAAAAATACTTTACGGAGACACCACTAGTTGCATTTTTGTCTAAATACCTTTCTGTGTCCCACAGAGCACAGCCCCATTGTTAATAAAAATAAGTAAATCCCAGCATTCCCAGTTAAAACAAAAGTCCTCACATAGACTCTAAGCATACGAGTGGACCAGTTTTAGCTGGTCTGTCTGTTCTGACCAGGAGTATATTTAGACCTCAGTAAGAAACGGCTGTATTGTACATTTAAGAACAATAAACAACCAAGGAGAAAAAAATTGCTTCCACCGAAAATAAACCAAAAAGAGAGAGAATAAAAATATTTATTAACCTGGAAAAAAAAATCATCAAAAATAGAAATGTCCCCCAAAGCAATACATCAGAGAGCTCTGACCTAATTTGAGAATTTTTAAGTCAACTGGGATACTAGTAAGTAGCATGCCTGATGAATAAATATTCTGAGCCATGCTCTAAGACAACACAATCACTGCACAGATCAGAACTTGTTAGTCATGCCAACATGCTTTCTATTCAAATACCCAGGAAGTGCCACTTTTGGAGAAAACCTGCCCATTTCAGATGGAGTTGCTCACATCTGCAGAGCAATGTCCCAGAAAAAATGAATCCTAGTGAGAGCTGCTCTGCAGACGAAAGGCTAGCATTTAGGTATGAATAGCGTATTCTAGATGAGTCAAGTTTGCACTTATATTTTGCTCTTTATACACAAAGAGTTTATTCTTAAAGCATCACAGCAGTCTTGGCTCAAGCCATCTTAGCTTCAAAAGCTATACACTGAAGAAGAACTCCTAAGCAATTTCCTTCAGAAAAAGCTTTGTGAAGATTTTATGATTTCTTCCTTCCTACAGTTAATGTCTGATGAAAGATGCAACAGGAAGGAAGGAACAGATGCATGAATGCATATACACACAATCTATCTCCCAAATCACGCACGCCCTTAGAAAGAAAGAAACAAACAAACAAATAGCACATTTGAGAACAACGTATACCTCCGAGAAATGCTGCAAAATACACAGTTCTGTCATTTTCACGTCTGCAAGCAACACCATACGTTGTGAAAACAAGAATAGAGTTTAACTAACAGCAAAATTAAAACTAACATTCTAGTTTAAAAGTTGTTATTCCAGACTCTTCCTCAACCCTCAAGTATGTGATTTCCAGAGTAGTATAATGTCAAAATGTGAACAGATGGATATAAGCATTAACATCTGCCTTGTACTTCAATAGTAGTAGTGATGTGAAAGCCACATCCCTGATAGCTTGCAGAGCTCTTGGTTTTGGGGCCAAAAGAACTTCATTGCTGTTAAGGAGACAATATTACTGACTACTGCTTATTGTAGTAGTGAGTACTCTTCTCCCTTTCAGTGCCTAAACTGAAAGGGAGAAGAAACAGAGAGTCCCAATCTTTGCTTAGGATAAGGTTGAGAGTGAGAATAGGGGGAGTCATCGGCATATATAAAGCAAGCAACAACAATAAGGAGGCAGCTTTGGCTACTTACCCTTTTTCTGCATTGCTGTTCTAAGATCCTGTTTGTTCTGCTGTTGTTGGCCACTAGCCATTTTCTCTCCATCATCTTCATCATGGCTTGATTGTCCAACAGTGAGAATCTGCACTTGACTTCCTATCTTCTGAATATCCTCTTGAAAAGCAGCTGGGCCATCAATCCCTTCAGACAACAGCAAAAGACTTAGCTGTTGTTGGGTCAAGGAGTTACTGAGAAGAGAATCACTCGCAAAAAATATCTTTTCTAAGAAACAAAGCTCAGTGGCTCATATAAAATATTAGCAGTAAGAGAGAAGGGCAAGACATGTGTCTCCTTCAAGCCTTCGCACCTCTGTCAGCAGCATCTCCGTTTCTGCGAGACACCTTCGTTTCAGTGCGCTCTGAGGATACCAAGCAATCAGAACACACAAATTTTAGAATATAAAACTCTAAATATGATAGAGACTGTTCTGAGTTCCACATAGCAAAACAATCATAACAATGCTCATTAAAAATTTCCAGCAGATGCATTTTTAAACTGTTAACACTTGTGGACTTCTTCAACTTTCCTGGGTCTTTATTTTATAGTCTATTATTTCAGAGTTGTTCAGTTTGTCACTGAGACCCAAACAAGCAGCAGATTTCATCTCTCCTTCAGAGAGGAATCTATTTATGTAAGGCACTTGGTGCCATTCTTAGGCACATCATTCAGCACCTGGATGCCTTAAATGAGTGTTTAAACATGTGAATCAAGGTGCCAGTTGCTCATCTTTATGTGCCAATTTTAATAAGTGGAACTGCCTTATAATTCATTTGCACTAGAGAATCTCCAAGAGATCACAACCATAATCAACACGATCACAACCATGATTTCACTACTGCCCACCAAACACACAGGTCCATGCCCCAGAGACACTGAAAACTAAACAAAGTCACTGGAGAGATAAAGAAAATGGATGCAGCTTTCCCAAGGACACAACTGGTTCAGAAACAGATAAACCTAAGTCCGTCCCATACTATGCTGTATCCCCTAATACACAGGGATTGCCATTGCCAACCAACGCTTCAAAATTTCAGAAGCCTGGGAAACTCACATGTAGATCTAGCAATGTATACATAAGGAAGAACAGCAGGTTAACAAGCCTAAAAATGTCTGCTGAGTTAGTACATTGCCATACAGTTAAAAGATCACAGTAAACTATAAAAAGGATAATAAAAATTCCTTGGGTTCTGAACTCCACAGTCAGAAACAATTTACCTCCTTATTACTGTAAATCGCCTGTGAAGACGGAAAAATGAAAATACATGCTAATAACATTTTTTTTCTTCAGGATAGCAAATTAAAACATCAAATTGCAAATGCACTTCAACTCTTAGTTAAGATACAGTTGCTGATATGTATTACTACGTTGGTAATATAAAAATGCATTTCTGCACCAATATAAATGGTAATATTATCATTTATAGATATAGTAAATAATAAAAGCTTGTATACTGCTGGTGTTCTGAAATGCCTGTAAATCAGCAATCCGATGGAGCATTAACAAGCATTACAAAGAGCTAGTTCAATAACAGAATATGGTGTTCCTCACACCAAACAGAGCTGAGTAAATCCTGTTAGAGGGAGCTGTAAGGGGGAATGGGATTTTTTCAGACTGTGATCTGTCTCTGAACATACCATTTCAACCCTCTGCTAGGAACTTGCATCAAAATACAACTGAATTGTACATTTAGCTATACTTTTCCATACTGGCTGTCACTGCCACCGTGACGCGAAGCACAAATGGAAACACCCCCAGGAACAGCACTGTCTGTGCAACTACCTAATGAGATGCAGCTCTACACTGCAGAAGTGTTTAAAAGCTTTCAGGTTAAAAGGAAAAGAGAGAGATGAATAAGAGATGTGACTGACATTTCACAAGTTCTAAGATGTCAAGGTCATAAGGAATTACTGACTCCTCTGCAGCACGCAGAACTTTATTTGGCTGTTTCTGCACCAACCCTGCACATTTGCTTTAGTTACAGTAATATTAACAAATAAACAATCTATCCATCCAATCTTGAAAGAACAAAGCCCTGGACTAACTGAAGTCCATGGGAATGTTTCTATCAACTTGGCAGGATGACAATTTCAGACAGGCACTTCATGTGAGGTGGAATGTACTGCAACCCCGTGATAATTGTTCCAGTGGTTAACTACCCTCCCTTTTAATGTATATGATTTATAGTCTGAACTAGCCTAGCTAGTTCCAGCTACTTGTTTATTTTTACACCTTTTTCAGTTCGTCAATAGACCTTCTATACTATCAGTTATCTTCTTTCAGAAGTCAGTCCTCATCAAAACACCTCTTAACCTTATCACTGATTAGTTAAACGAACTGAACTATTTATATCTCTGCATTTTTTCCCGGCCTTCAGATCCTCCGCCCTTCAAGTATTTCTGAATTCTTCAAAAGTTTGTAATATCCTCTTTGAAATTTGGAACATGAGTATTCAGTAATGGCCTTTTATGCAATATAAGGCATAACAGAGAGCCCCTCTCCTTGACTGTCTGTCTTCAGTAGCCATTCTTTCCCAGGATACAGTCTGCCAAGCTGCAAGTGTGATCCACATGCTTTATTACTAAATATAAAACCTGTATCTAGTTTCATAATAATGTATTTTGTCTGGATTAATTCTAGTTTACTGGATACCCAGATTGCTATGGAAAAACAACGGGGTTATTCACAACTCCACAAATCTGTGTTTTTCTTCAGCAAGCTTTGCCAGCCTAGATTTAAATTCTCCTCAAATTATTATTGCTCAAAGGTACTGAAAAGCATTAGGCCCTTAACAGACAAGATCTCTTTGCAATTATTTACTACTTACATTTTTCTTAGATAAGTAATGTTCTAACTCATGTAATGTGTTACACTGATGTTGCAGATACCATACTTTAATCTCATGCAGCCTAAATCAAATAAAAAATAAAAAACAGGTCAAAATCAAACACCAGAAAAGTAAACAATGAAAGATATAGACAAGCGAAATTTGACTTTCTATTTATCTTCCCTCACAGTACAGGAATAAGGATTTTCATCAGGTCATTTACTGTACTGAAAGGCAAGAAATGTCAACCTGAAAAAAGCAATCACTGCAAACAAGCAAGCAGCAACACTGACAGAAGCACTGACACAAGGAACTTAAGGGGCTCATGGTATCCAAAGATTGACATATATATTTTGGGAAATAAAAATATCCATAGCTGCAGTACGTTAGCAAGGACAAAATACACATTGAATTGGTATTATATCTGCAACACAGCAAATTATATGACAATGATTAGAATAGCATTTTTCCTAAAAGTGAGTTATTTCGAGATACGTGCTCCAGCTAAGGTGCACTAGAACAGACTGACAACTGCTCAGATCCAGTGTGATATTTTTAATAACTTTATCCACATTAACCATAATTTTTAAAATGTCTGCTTAAAGTTAGGTTCTTACCTTAATACTCTGAATTTCAAATGCGCTAAGCACCCATGAAGCAAGCAAGATGCTCACGCCTTGTGCATATCAAGCCCCTTATTAACTTTTGGGCATTCACAGTTACAAACATAACTTTGAGAACCCATATCAAAAAGACAAAACACCTTAGTTACTTCAAAGCAGACACAGATCTGCAGCAACACTGAATGCCTCCAACAGCATTTGACAGTCCAAGCTAATTGCACTGAGGCTGCTGTTTCTGATGCCTGTAGAACATCTGCGCTCACATCCTGTGCTGTCAGGAACATCATGTATTATTAGGCATTAGGACAAAGGTTACACTGGTAGGTCACATATTAGAGAAGAAAAATCAATTTCAGCATTCTGAAGAGCGCATCGTTGGTAAAGTGTATTATTATGAATGGTTCCACTGGTGACCCCACTTAAGGGAATGGAAGATGTAGCCAGAGAGAAAAAAAAAAAAAAAGAAAAAACAAAAAATAAACCTTTGCTGCATTATAATACTGCACAAAAACAGTGAAGATTCTTGATGCTGTAGATGGTTTGTGACAAATACACTGTTAGCTATTTAACATTTGTGTGTGTGAGCATGCACAAATCTGTCTATGTATCCATATGTAAAATGCAAGCAACACATACACTTCTCCGTGTGTATGTGTGTGTGTATCTTTGCAAGCCACAGTTCAAAAATGATTTTACCAACCCCCACCTAATATCTGAAAGCACTTTCAAACCTGTGCAACTATGATGACTCCAGGTGGATCTCTCCCTACGCTCTCACTTTCTTTGCCTCACTGATTCCTTTTCCTTCCGCTCACCTACTGGAAGGATGGTTCACCATGCAATAAAAACAAACTAGCCATATCTACAGTTATAAGTTTCCTGGTTAAAGAACAGGGTCAAAAGAGGCAAAGAAGCTGAGCAGGCTGTGCCAAAAAGAAAGTCTTTATTGCCAGTGTCATGGTTTTCTACTGATTTTCCCAAAAGTCAGGCAGAGATGAACTGATGAAAAAGCTCTTGCACACCTGCTAAGAAAATGAATTCTTTATATTATCCACTAGGCAACCGTGAATGAGGACAAGGAAGAAAGAGAAAGATTGAAACAACCCCCAGAACACCAGCTTCTCCAGTGAATATCTTCTGGCAAACTTTGACATGGTAATGTCTCAGATGAAACCCAGAGGTACAAAATGACAGAAATGAAAACAAAGAGATGACCAAAAATTGCAAATCTCTCTCATTTCCATCCTATAAATGACTATTTATCAATGCCTGTATTCTGTTTGCACCTAAAATGTCCTAGACAGTGTTTATAAATAGACAGAACCTTGCTCTTAGAGGCTTGTAATCTAAACTACCATGCAGAATGTGGATAATCTGATTTTATCATCTAAATTCATTTAAATGCTAAGAAATTTAAAATACTTTAGGAGGATATGTATTGAACTTTGATCTCTCTCTCTCTCTCTCTCTCTTTGCTTTAAATGCCCACAGTGTCAACTATCTACACAAACATTCAAAAGATCCAGGACGGAAACAAGGGAAGGAGAAAAAGATATGGGATAAATAAAGAATAGGAGAGCGGCTACTAAAAGCCTTGGAAAAGGAATAAAATGGGAAAATGTTGCTGAATGTTCATGATGCATGATAAACAAATCTAAGCTTTCACGCATTTTATAGTACCACACCATGCCTG